TTTTGTACTGTAGTTAATGTATTTTGAATATTCAACATTACACCAAATACATTCATCTTAAAAATACATTTTGCCATACACATTTATACTATTAAGTGGAGAAAGACAACATGCATTTGCCTCACCCATTGACATAATGAAATGACAATTTTTTTCCCAATTCAGATTATGTTTTTGACTTGTATTCAAACCTCTTATGATAAGAATATTGCATTAGTTTGAATGTGGGACACGAACAGTATCTTATCAGACCATAGGTTAGAGATGGATGTTGATTTTTATAACAGGCTGCTATGGATGAATTAAAGGTTACTAGATTTGAATTCTGTGAAAACAGCACACCATCACAGAAAATTTCAGGCTGAATAGCTCGTTAAATATTTGACATTTTTAACTAGAATAGAATGCAACTTACTTAATATTGTACAAGTACGCAGAACTGGCTCTTTAATGCTGTGATGTAAAGGTTGATTACGTGGTGTACCATATAGATGTTTAGTGATTTCATAATGTATGGCAGGCCATTTACTTATCATTAAAGATTACTGCGTATTCATGGTTTGTAAATGGACTCTCCCATAATTGTACCACAGAAATCATCTAAAGTAATTGTATGATTACTATACTCACAAATTACTTTTTTCCTATCTCACGTTTGATGACTCTGTATGCATCTCATGGACTTAGGGCCACGTTAAAATATTAATTAGTTTCTCCTCCTTACCACTTCAGCATCATTCTGTTTCTTTATATCATTGTTTTTTTTCCCTTTTTTTTTTTTAAATTCCCATTTGCCTCCCCTTCATTTCTCCCTTTCTCACCTTCCCTTCACTGCCAGTATTCCTCCACCTTAGAACAAAAGAATGATACAACTTAAATAGGTTTCCCAGTATAATGAAAAAATAAAATAATATAAATAAAATATTTGTATACTGATTCTAGGCTGATTGACTGATTGATTGATTATACAAACATTACAGTTATAATATCAACATAAATTTTTTTGTATTCTTCAATTATGATTGATTGCAAGTGAAGTAAATATTTCATCATAGATGGATATAAATTCAAATTGAATTTATATCCAAATTGTATTGAGTATTTTTACACTTTTGGCTAAGGAAACAAATATATGAAAATATATATATTGATATTGTTGCATTTTAATCTTAACCATTTCATCATCTCCCAGGTAACAAAAGGCCAAAGCTTAATTAGATGAGCATAGGAAAATACTGACATACACCACACCAAGACTCATGTGATTGATTGTATTCGCACAAACAAAGGTTCGGGCTGAATTTGTTATAGCAATTACGATGACAATATACAGTACATCTCAACTAAATTTTAAGGAATGAATACTCCAACTCATAAACCAGCTCATTCTATATTTCATTACATTAAGTGTGTGTGAACGTCTTTTTGGCAACTTTTGTATCTGAAACTGAATGAATTTGTACTGTAATTTCAATGCATTTTAAAGCCTAAGTTTTTAGGGTGAGGGTACTGATCATTAGGCATTTTTTTTAGGTAGAAAGCATAGGTCGCGATTTAGGGTACTTGGGTGTATATAACAACTCCTTAGTAGATTAACCAATAAAGCTATAAAAGGAGTAGAAAAACAGGATGCTAACAATATTTTTGGTGTCCTATCCATTTGCAGGCCGATACTATCAGTAAACATGGCCTTGCTTAATGTCTACCAAATTGTATACACCGTTATGTTGCAATTATCTCTTCGTCACTTTCAAGCTAATATGGCCTATTATTGTCGTTAGTGAACAGCGTTTGTTAGCTTATTGGGAGGCAAGTGCAAGGGAAGGCTGGAGTATTGTACTCCATAAGACGATCAATGGAGTTTGTGGAGTGTACAGTCTCAATTCTTCTCAGATTAACCCTATTTAGGTGCTTACCGTACAAACTGCGTGCTTGTGTGCGCTTGAACAAAGCACTAAGAAAACCTCGATATATGTCAACAATCAAGTTATTGTAACCTATATGCAGGAAGCAATAGATCCTGTGTTGTCTTGATAGTATTTCAAAAAGTGATTGCAAACAATCACTTTAGAAGTAAATTTTTTTTTCATTTGTACTTAACTGGAAATTAAGGACTTTGATAGTATCATTGCATAATAAATTAATTGCTTAATAATTGTTGTATCAGGCCAGTAGGTCTGTTAAATGTATTTACTGTAGGTTTGGTAATGGGGAAAGCACCTTAAGGATGTCATTTGGAGTAGATTAAGCATTATGAAAATGCTCATTATAGGGGGAATAAAGTCAATGTTTCTCTTTTTTGAAGATGAGAGTATTGAGGCTGTCTTTTCCCTTATGAGGACAATCTATATGAGGACAGGGCCATGTTTTCTCTTATGCGAATGACCTGCATGAGTGGGATGAGGCCACATTTTTTCTGTACAACCGACCACAAAATACAAGTAACATAATTACACAAAATTATATCAGGCCTATGCCAAGCCATCACACTCACAGAAACATCTTCACTTACCTGGGATTTTTGTCGAATTTTCTGATTCTTTACCTCACAAAAATATAATAAACATTTTTAGTTTTAAAAATGCCGAAGAAAAGAATGCTGGATGGATAGAAACAATTTGTTTTATTAGAATATGTCTTAAATACCAAATTAATAATAAAGGTCTGTGGTTTCGTCTGATATTTCTAATATCATATTTCAAAAATTTGAATTCAGTCATATAGATTGTATTAGAACATTACTAAAGTACTATTTTTGCGTTTGTGCCTTCCACTATAGATATTGTCCCAAAAGGTGATTATAATAAGAAGGAAATAACTGTTTAAATGTGTGCATGCAAAAGCGAGAAAAAAAGGTGATTAGGCCCCATGAGAAAGATTATTAGATTATAGCTCTTCTTTTAAAATTATCTTGGATATTTTTTGGGCTTCCCTTACAGTATAACGTTTGACACTGGGTGGGAATAAAGCATTTTATATAAAATATTTTTTGACAAGAATGGCTATTGGCAAGAAAATTAGTTGAAGTAAAATAAAAATATAAAGTAATGTAATTATTTTAATGAGGATTTCATTTCAATTATTTATAATTCCCTTTAATCTTTTGTAGAACAAAAAACAACCACAGCCATAAAATTGCTATTCATATCTTGTCTTCCTAATTATTATTATTTAAAACTTTTTGTTTGTCATCTATAATTGATGTGGAGTTAACATACATTTTGTCATTTAGTATCTGGAAAAAAATAATGGCAGTTTCATATTTGGTAAATCATTCTCATGAATGTTTAATAATATCATTGATTTTCGCACAAAAATAAAAAATATTGACATGGGAAAAAAATGTAATCTATTAATATGTAACACACTTAGATTGTTAGGACACACTTTGATTTATATACCTAATCAACCATCTTCATTTATGATCTGAATGCTTTATCTGACCCTTTGAGCAGGAAAATACTGTGCTAGGAAAACCATTGGCAACTAACACATTTTAATCCAGTCAGAAAAGCTTTGGAATGATCTTCTACCTTTCATTCCCGCAGAATAGTAGTGGTGCTCTATTGAGGGAGGGAGAGAGGTAAGGAGGGAAATGTTCTCTCTTGCCATTTGAGAAGCATTGATTATGTCATTGTACTAGGAAAGACAATTGAAATACTTTTTAAGTGGTTCTTCTACTTCAGTAAATTGCTCTGGTTCATCCTGTTTGGTTTTGTGTAACTTAAGATTTCCTCTTAATGTGTGTAGAAGAATAATTTTTGTAGTAATATTTTTGAATGTTTAACTTATTGTCTTTAACATCTGAGTGTTTAAAAAAAGCTTTTGCGATGCCTATATGTCGAGGGTTTGTTGAGTTATATATAATTGTAATACATTAATTATTATATTTAAATTATAGTGCTTTGTCTTAAAACACAATATTTCACATGTATAAATATTTCTTTCTATATTATGGGAAGTATTAGTTTATGCCTTTGTTAATTATGCCTTACAGCAAACTACTTGTCTCACACTGGTAGAAGATTCACCAAGACTCTTGCTTTAAATGTAACCAACCTAGAAATAAACCCTGGCCTAATAAACCTGTGTTCTCTCATTTACATATTGTACTTGTGTAAATTAGGCCCTTTGCTAGCATAGCTACAGGTATTGACATAACTATATTGAAATCAATAAACACATACATCGCCTAGCTTTCTGTTGGGTTGGTAAACAATACAATAATTTTAACAATGCCCCATCTGTGGAGTTTCTCGAATATTTTAAGTACAGTTCATACTTCCTTTTCGCCATCAAGTAGAATGTTTAAGATTTTGAAATCTGGAAAAAAGTAAGATCTAAAAAAAATTAATTCAATTAAAAGTTTTAATTACAAATGAAAATTATCAAATTAGTTATCAACTACTGATGAGATATGAAAATTAAATGTTTACTATTCTCTCAACCAATTTAAGTGCCTGTTAATTGGCAGAGGAAAAGTTTGAAAAACATTAGGTTTTATTTGACAAGTTATGGTTAATTTGTGGATAGTACCAGTAAACATACAACCTGTTTTTATCAAAAAGATGTCTGTTACGAACATTTTATAATACTGTATACAAAGTAATAAACAATTTAATTGATCTCTACAGATAGCATAATTTCATAAAGTTCTTTTAGCTTCCTATCACCTCCTCAATATGCACATAAAACGTGTTAATTTTGTAAGAAATCTTTATTATTAAACAGGTTAGTTATTCTTATCAACATTTTAAATAGGTACAACAGATTCTTTTCCCTCTCCATCATTGTAAGGTGTTTTTGTAAATGGTGATAGTGATAAACAATTTTAATATTCTTTCAGAATAATTCATGATGAACAGCAAGTATCTATCCACTAATTTTCTCACAATGCAAACTTTTAAAAAATAATACAATAATATGCGTGTACCAGTCAGTAATTTGATTAAATAAAATGTAAATAATGTGTTTTGTCATTTTTTCCCCGTTTTTTGCAGGTTGAATCAATGTGAATTGACACCTAATAAAGGATATTTACTATATTACAGTCAGAAAGTCAGGAATAGTTATTTCATATGAAAATGAGAAAGACAAAGTGAAAACAGTTTTGTTGGAAGATAAAAACTTCAAAAGAGTTACTAATAAAGATAACCATGGGAGAAGAACTGAAAAGACTAACGGCATTGGTGAATAACACCGAGAAAAAAGTGAATAATGATAATATTATCACGAGTGTGGGCCTGAATCCAAATGGACTAAAGCAAGAGAAAAAAGATGAAGAAAATGGACAACTACAGAGTTTGATGAATGCCCATAGGCCTTCAATTGAAGTAAAAGGAGAAAAACGGAAAATAGATGAACTGAAAGAGGAAGGGACGGAAGACGACGATTCTGTTTTTTTACCGAACGATAGGAATAAAGAGGAAGGAGGTAAAGCTTTGTTTACAATTTTTCATTTACTAATCTTCCATTCAAACTATCAAATTTATGTGATAAATTTGTGTGATGTGCCCTTATATAGGCATGGTGATATCATATTACACCCAAATATGAGATATCACATTTATTTGGTAGTAAAAAGAGCTTTAATTTACATTTTAATTTTTTTAACATCACAAGTGTAATCATAAGTGTAAGTATATATTGTGGTAAAATTTTTTTATTAGTAATATACAGTACTTCATACAGTAGGAATTTCACTTGATCTAAGTTTAATGGTGTTCACTATTTGTTTATTTTTTCCCAGTGAATAAAAGCGATTCCAAATTCCATCATTATATTTTTTGTTTCCTTGTGAGTAACAAGACAAATGAATATTGTCATTTATCAAACTGCAAAATATCCCTTGAGAATATTTCTATATAAAATGGCAATATGAAAATTTACATTATTTTCAACTATTTGTTATTTCTCTGTCAAAATTCACCTAACCTCTTAGGCACGGAACTGTACCAGAATCATAAGCAGCTCTTAACAACCAATTAATTTGTTTCTGTATCTTGGATTAACTGCGTATAAAAAGTAATCCGACTTGAATCCATTAACCATTTGTGTGTCTACAACGCCAAACATATCTTATACTGGTCGTGTGATTTTGATAATGTGATTTTGGTCACATGACTTTATAATTATTTTTTTTAGCATCAGTTGAATTATTGATAATATTAATTATTTTTTTATTTATTTTCAGAATTTTAACCATATTTTCTTGTATTATAACTATAAAAAAAAAAACCTAACATTTATTTATTGTAGGCCTAATTAATCGTTGTTAATCTCTGCTATGAAGATTAATAAAGAATAAAGTAAATAAAGGAAAGTATATTTTTGGTGACATATTTTTATGCAATTTTATTGTCAGGTAGTGAATGACATTCTTAAAACCATGTTGATGTTATTTGTACAGTGATGAAGTCTCTCAAAGCCATGTGATCAGAGACTGTGATCTGATTGGCTAGTACCTGGACTAGTTTACAGATAATTGATGAACTCAATAGGATGACATCCCCATGAATTTCCCCTTCCCAAAAACATCCTGTGTACCAAATGTGTACTTAATTTGATTTGTGAATTTGCTAAATTCTAAGTTTGTAGGATACAGTTTCCCACAAATTGTGAAGCTAATGTGTGTACATAAGTATAATGTACAGCCTTTTCTTCTTTGTTTGCCCTTAATTTTGTGCAAGAAAATGACTATTGTTATACTAATAACATAGTTAATAATCATAATTAATAATAATAATAGATCATTTAAGCCTGAAATAAATATACTATACCATATTTATTTGAATAAATTGCGTGATCGTAAATACTTATTGATCCAAACCAGGTTCCATGGGTTATCTTAGGTGTCTAAGAAATCCAATCTCCCCTGCAATAATTTACAAGTTCTGCTGGAAGAAATGATTGTTAAATTGGGATTTTTGTTCAATCGGTAAAATGTTTTTTCTCTCAGCATTTGGTTGGTAGAACTAAAGTCTTCTCAGCTATAAACTTCAACTAGGAGGCCCAGAATATGTAGATAGTTCATGTGCTTTAAAAAAAAATCCATTGTACATTTGTCGGAAGAATGGGTTTAAACTGTTACATTTCAAATCCCTGTTAAGGTGGCGTGATGAGAACATAAATCTACTGTATAGAGTGGCTCTCCTTGGCAGCTATAGTCAGTCACAGACCATACCCATAAAATGACTAGCACATTCTGTATTATGGGTTATTCTCCTACCTTTACTTTGCATTTTCATGCAACTCATCATAAAGAAAACAAGGGCACAGGTCGCCTGAGAAATCTGTATAACAACGATGGATTAAGTTACTCTTCAAATTCTATCCCATAATTTATCTTCATTTACATAATTTTTGATACAAAGTCTGATTGATCATGTCTGGACTATCTATTTTTTTCATTCATTTTTTTTGTATTAGTTTTATTTACATTACTTTTGATTGATTTAGGTTCTTCGCATTTTATAATTTGGCCAATCAACATAAAAGTTACGATTTGTCATCATTAGCGTCATGTTTGATTTCTTTAATATCTTGTCTATTAACCTAATTATTGGAATTTACGATACAAGTTACAATAGCGCACCGTCTTTCGGATGAGACGTTTAAGCCATTGGTCCTTTGTGCATTTATGGCCTACTGTGCATGTTAAAGAACGCAGCACTCTTCGGAAAAGAGTAGGGGATTCAAAAACTACCAAACTACTTTTCGCAAGTTTGGTCCTGGGGTCACGTGAGCAACTTCATTTACAAATGTCGCAACAAAACACACGTGGGCTGGTTGTTGAAACTTGCTGTTCGACATTCCGGGTTCCCGGTGGCTTGTACCGTTATAGAGAGAATGATCCGCTATAATTTCAGAATAAAAACTTGTGAAATTAATTTATGCTATAAAAACACAAGTTTTCTTGAAGTTGTAATAATTATTTTACTTGAATTTGACTTTAGAAAGGCACCTTTTGGCAATTTATCGTGCGATACCGTAGCTCGGCGAGTTTGCTGAGCATGTAAGTAGGCCTATGTGATGAAAGTTCGTCCTCCTCTAGCAGTGGTGAGTGACATTTGCATCCTGAATCGAAGAAGGTCACGGCTATGGTGGGATCATCGCCCGTCGGATTTTTCCAAAGCGTACCCATTAATGCTGATAATGATGATGAAGACGGGGTCCCCTTGGCAAATGAAGCGAAATCGAGGACAATGTGGAAGGACAACAATGTATAGCATTAGCAGAACATAAAAAAATAATAAAAACACCTTTTCTGTACTTTCCATGCTTTTCCAAAGAAAAAAAAAAAAAAAACCGCATCGCCGCATCAATTCATTAACTTTGGTCTGACCAGAGACAGAAAATATATTTTTTTTTGGCCTAACAAAGGTTGTCTCCATTGATATGGTCATCGTTAGTGGCAACCACTATTACTATTAACAACATTTTACCTTCGTTCCCATTTCCATCCTTAAACATAATCACATCATTATAATTACAATTACGGTCGTCTTAATGAACTGCATCATCATGATATTGACAACATCTCCAAATACTTTTATCTGGTTTTCCGTGACAGTTTTACCAATGTGGTGCAGATTAAATAACTATATATATTTATAACTATATATATATATATATAACTATATATTACCACTAGCATCCTTGAGGCTGTACTCATTATATCACTATATATAAATCAACTCTATTATTATAAACAGTATTGCTAATACATTGCCAGTGAATGAAAATAACTTGTATAATATTGTTTTATTGATATAACCCAACTGAAAAGCTGTTCTGCTCTGGTTTAGTCTGTAAACATTGTTCTGTGAGGTTATTGTCAAGATGCTTGAATTATTCACAATACCCACGGCGCTCAATCATCCAACATAACCTTGAACGAAAAAATAATAATGAATTATACATAATAACAGAAAATACTACACATTACAGTATCAACGATGGAAAATGTCAAAATTTATTCTGTTATGCAATTGGCACATCAACTATTCCTGCATCTGCTTTTGATTTCTGACTCCTCAAATATTTTATATTTATGTTTAATTCAATATACATTTGTCAATTAAGAATGAAATATGATTGATGTTGAATTTCACAAACTTCCATCATGTTATCAATATGACTTTATCAAGCAGTAAATAGAATTTATGAAAGTCTCCTAATATAATTGTATTGCTTGTGAATTATTTCATTTTATATAGTATTCAGTTATCTTTCTAAATATGTAATTAAGTATATAGTAAAACAAAAATAATGCTGTGATTATTATGCGACTTCCATAATTTTGTGATATTGACCTGTTACACATTTATTAAATTTTAAAGTTAATACAGTAGTATACCCTTAAAAGTGGCTAGTTTTAAAAATTTGCTTTCCTAGATACATTCTAAAGGTTGTAATTCTGTTGTGGGAGTTTTAACATTCTTACATGCAATCAAATGCTTAATTTTATACAAATTGTACCTCTGTACATTCAAGATAATGTTTTGTTATAGTCTTATACTTATATAAACCTTCCTTTAATTACTTAAATAATCGTTGTATTTGTTATTAAATTAATATATAGAATTTGTGGAGTAACGCAATACATACTGCTGTGGGATTATATGATAGTTTACATGTCAACATGAATGCATTTGTTAGTTGTTATTAGGCTTGACCCTTTTGTTACACTAACATTAAATCTGGTTGTAAGATTTTAATATTTAATTTAATCTTTATCTTTGAATTGATAAATGTGTTTTGCTTACCAGTTTTATCCATGCCAGAATTTGAAAATCTGTTCATAAATTTTTGTGAATCTTTCAGATAAATCACGGAATAAACGGAATCGACCGACGGAATCGAAACCAGTAGATTGGGATTTAGTGGATCCTAAAACCGGGAAAAATGGAGAAAATAAATCAAATACAGGTAAGATGTTTATTAAATTTTTTCACCTATTTTACACATGTTTATACCTGTTTACACATATTTACATGTGTTTATACTTGGTTGGTTTTTATATTTTGAAATTACATTTTTGTAAACAAATTTGTAATTTTTCTTGGTTTTGTCTTATTTTAATCAGCATGTTATTTGGTGTCAGTTTGCAGCATATTATTCAATTCTTCTAATATTGGAAGTGATTTATAATATACTATTCGCAATACGAGAATATAAATAATCTGAATAATTTTGATTCATTGTATCTACCATATCCAAAACGTCTATTTTACAAGTTGGTAATGCTAATACAATTTGCATAACTGTAACATTTTCCTAATGCATGCGGATTTACTTTCAGTATTATATTTTAGCACTAAATTTATGTAGTGCAAAAATAGTGTGTTTTAATAATACAATTTGCATAGCTGTAGCATTCTGCCTAGTTTGTTTCCAATTTTTCCTTCAGAAATTAAATTGTCCGTGAAATCTGCAATATCAGTATCATTTGTAGCACTAAAATATGTAGTGCTAAAATAGTGTGTTTTACTTTGTAACGTAAACATCTATCGGTGAATTGTGGCATTAATGCCTGATTCACCAAATGTCTGCCATTTTCCTTCCCGAAATTTACATCAGATTGTTAAAGACTATTTGGACTCACTCCAAGTAAATTTACCTTACATGCAATATTACAAAATTACATCAGACTCGTTTCAGTGTACATAGTGCTGTGTAAATGAGTCACTATTGATTTGGCATAGCTATAAATTTATCTGTGTAGTTTTCAGCATTTACAAGGCTGATCAGACGAATGCATTTTAGTACTCTCAGGATTATATATTGTTGTATTTATAAATCTTGCCATATATTTTATCATCACATTTTGCTGGAAATAATATTTTGGTAATTTGTTTAAATTAATGATTTACAAATAGAAAAAAAAAATGGAATCATTGGATATAATATTAAAGTGAAATATGTAAATTCATGGGCATTACAACAAAGAAATAATTAATTTTTTTAATGCTTTTATATTAATTGTCACTTGTTGTAAATTTCTTTGATACTTAATAGAATAAATGATAATATTAATGATAATGATTATTCTATTTCTATTAAAAGTTAAATTTCAAAATATTCTTATAGTTTTTTTAGTAGTTAAATTAACTCATTGTATTGTATTTTAATCTTTTTGTTGATTTTATCTATCCAGATCATAATACGATGATGTCCTATCATGCGCATGGTCAGCGGTTTGGTGACCATACTGGTGGTCAACAGCATGAAGTATTTGCATTCTCAACATATTTAGCGAACCGTGCTGCACAGACGGTACTTGGCGGCACTTCCAACTCCATTATTAGCTACCACCAGACACAGTCTGCATCGCGCAAGTTCTTACAGGCAGATCAGGTAGGAAATTGCCGTAGTCGTCATTAATTTCTTCATCCTTGCTACGTGCCAAAACAAATCTTAAACATATTGTGCAGTGGATTGACTTGTCTTTACCCCTCAATTCCTGGTACTTAAGTTTGTTGTTGATCTTAAGCTCAGGAATTGGTTAGCATTAAGATAAAAGAAATATTTTTTTAATTGTGGAATTAAAAAATATCTATCCTTTATCACTTGTCAGATGTTTTTTTTACAAGAACTTAACAATCAGTCAAAAAAGACTTGCTGGGTTTTTTTTATGATAGAAAAATTTTTTTTTTTTTGTATTCTTGAAAAATGAGGATTTTTTGACACTGCTCAGATAAAATGTAATAATTTTAATTAAGAAAGTTTATTTTGCTCTTTCCTTACTAGGATGCACAGGACAAGACACCACCATCATCAGCAGACTCTGGTGTGGCCCATACGTCTAGTAACAATAGCCCTGAAGATCAGTCAAGCTCTAGACAAGGTACACCAATTCCTCTTGGAACACCAGATCCTAAGACCCAGGATAACCTTCAGAAACCTATGGATGTTATTGAGCCAAAAGAATGCCGGACACCGAAAGGCAACAATACCAGCAGTACACCTGAGGGCGGAAATAGCACCCCATCAAACAGTGTTCATAATGAAACACTCACACCCGTTAGCAGTGGTCATGAGACGTCAACGCCGACCCCACCTACAACGACTAAGAAACAAACGGGTAGGAAACGGAAAAGTTCGGTGAAAGGTGTGACCAAAATGCTGCAGCATCAACAGCAACAGCATCAACAGCAACATCATCAACAACACTATGGCCCTCATGTTAATCCACCATTTCAGGGTCATTTTCCATCTCAAGTTGGATACAATATGAATAATCCGTTCCACACGGACATGGCGATGCCCTTCACAGGTAACCAGCGAATTTCACCTGTTGGTGTGCCTCAACCAAGCACTACAGAAACGGAAGATCTTAGTCCAAGTGCTTTGTGGGAGAATCCACCGAGTAAGAAAATTAGTGGTCCAGGTGCGTGGAAACCACAAATGGATATGATGTCCAACATGCAAAACTCTATGATGAGCCATCCTCGAATGAATGCATCCGCAAAAATGCAACATCGGCAACTCATGCGCCCGACGCAGTTTCAGCAGCATTCTCAAGGATCAATGGGGGTCAGTTTACCTTTTGGATCTGGAGTGGTGAATAGCGATGAAAATTTAACTCCAGATCAGTTACGTCACCGTCAAGAACAGCTTAGAAAACTTACCGATATGAAAAGAATACTTTTGCATGACAAGCCAGGTAACCAAATGACATCTCCACGGATGATGTCTCCTGGAGGATTGCCTTCATCTGACATGATGATGATGCCAGAAAATCCTATCATGCAGGGAATGATGAGGACAAGTGGTCCTGGTATGATGGAACCACCCCAGCGTATAATGATTTCGCCGACAGGGATGGGTATGAATCCCCAGCATATGCCCATGATGCCACAGGATGACATGATGTCTCCAGAGCAGCGTATGATGATGCAGCCACCAATGAATAATGACTGGGAGAATGCTACCCCTGCCCAAAAGGCTTGGGTCAAATTACAACATGAATATTATCAAGAAAAACAACAGAGTAAAATTTTAGGCAAACAGCCGAATATGATGAATCTAGCTGGTCCCAATATGCCTATGGATTCACATGATCCAATGGGAGATTTTGGAATGAATCCTCAAGGAATGCCTGGGGCAGGGAATGTGCCACCCCCTCCACCATATCATGGACCTCAAACCCCATTTGTTGGACGACAGACCATGGGTGGATCTTTTCCTATGTCGGGCGGAATGCCATCAAATAATATGCCATTGTCTCCAACTCGTTTAATGATTGCACAGCCAGGCAATAGGACTAACCGTACTGGATCAATGCCTGGCATACAGCCACAAATGGCTTTTCAACGTTCGCAAGGCAATATGAACATGCCTATGTCACCTACCCCTAACATGCAGAGTAATAGTGGCCTAGATGCAGGCCTCACTGGTAGCATGATGGAACAGTCGCCTAGGCCAGGACACCCAGGAACACCTGGCATGGAAAATTTTGGTACAACACGTAGTAATAGTAACAATATGAATCCAATGTCACAGCCTAATGTTCCAAGCCCGCAGATGCCTAAACCCAACACAAGTTCAGCAAACACTGGCATACCAACACCTTTGTCTAGTACTCCAGAGGCAAGTATGCCAAAAACGAGTGCAGACACAATTCAGCAAATGACCAAAGCATCTGATGTGCAAATGGGGCAGCCTCAGAGGTTGGTGAATTTCCCTTCTAGTCAATTGAATCGAGACAAAGCTCCTAATTTTCCGCCACGAGGTGAAGAACAGTTTGCGTCTCATTTTTATCAGAAACCTATGGAGAAAAAACAACCTGGACGATTACAGCATTATAATAGTAATATGGGTGTAGGGCACGAAATGATGCCCTCACCACAAGGAATGATATCATCACACGGCAACATGATGTCGCCACAACCAGGTATGATGTCATCAAAGAGTGGTATGATTGCTTTGACCTCCCCAGTTGGACAACAGATGGGAGGTCAAAGTGGCATGATGCCACAACAAAGAATGAACTCTTCTCAAGCACAAATGCGCATAATGCCTCAAGACATGATGACATCACAAGCGCTCACAACATCTCAGTCCAATATGATGTCATCGCATTCAAGCATGATGCCATCACAGTCTGCAACAATGAACTCACAATCGGACATGATGACATCATCACAGGGAATGATGTCACCAATGGGCATGATGCCTCAACAGCCAGGCTTTATTGGAAACCAAAGGACTATGGTCAGTCCAGGAAATAATATAGCACCAGGAATGAATATGCCTAATATGGGAAACCATGGACTAATGGGCAATCCTGGCAATATGCCAGGTGGAATGGGTATGCCTGATATGGGCATGCCAAATATGGGCATGCCAAATGAAGGTAACATGGGGCATGGGATGATGCCAGAGCATGGTATGGGTACAACTTCTATACCAAATGATGTAATAAGCATGCAACAGCAAGGGAACACAGTAATGAGAAATAATAATAGATCTATGGGCTCAAGCAACAATCAGGTTCCCTTGCCAGCTAGTTTACCCATCGATGCATCATCACGTACCACGCCTAATATGACAGGACAGAAAATGAACAGTGGTGCAGCCCCGAATACGCCTTCTTCTGGTGATAGTCAAAATCCTTTAGCAATCTTACAGAACAGGTTTGAGCCTCCCCTTTTACCTGATGGCAAGGGGCCAAAACAGACATTGCAATATTTTCCAACACCGGATGCTCAGGCACAGTCAGGAAACCCACACCTTAATCCTGGTATGAACCCAGGACCAGTTTCTCAACCACCTTCTCAGGGACCAAAGCAAATTCAAATGCCATTTCCTATGGACATGGTCCGGCCTGGAATGCAAGGCATGAGCCAAGGATACGGCCCTCGATTGTCCGGGCCAAGAATGAGCCATTCAGATGCCATGTTTCAACAACAGATGGGTGGAATGCCCAGGAATCAGATGACAGGAATGTATGGCATGTCACGGCAGATGCAGCCTGATATGTTTGTACCAGGACGGCACAGAATGATGAACCCTAATATGATGGGACAACAACCTATGGGCGGCTTCAGCGACCCTGTGATGGGAGGCCCCCAGGGTCCAGGGGGAATGATGGCAATGAACAATCCCATGATGCAATATCAAAACATGCCCAATATGTGAGCATCAATGATGCAAGACATAAGGATTGTAAAATGGAATAAGTCACTATGCTGCAGGGATGACTCAAACTAATAAGTCGCTCGCCTAAAGACACTAATGAGCAGCCTCCCGCTAAGACAGAGCAGTATAAAAAGTGCGGTCAAAAACACACGCCATGACAATGTCTTGCTGAAGAAGTTTGTTCCTCTCAGCAATTCATGATGACATTGGAATGGCGGTGACGATGTGGAGTAAGGAAATATTTATTTTGTGAATAAAAACAAAGACAAAATTGTACATATTGACAGATTGTCTGTCATGGGTCATCTATAGGTTCTGGTATATTTTACAATCGTCTGTATATCGGTCCTTATGGGTGCGTGTGGATGTGTGTGAAAGTGTGTGGAAAAGACTGAGAGAGAAACAGACAGATGTCAATTACTAGTCTTACTTAATATATAATTTTATTGTTATACAACACTATTGAAGATGTTCATAACAGATACGAATAAGATAATTTGAAATCAATTATGATTTGCTATAGATTTTGTTTATCAATAAATGTTGAAGGTGACCACATTTTAATAGTGTTTGAAAGGGAAGATTTGTCCCACATTCTAGTAAATAAATTAAAGATATACTCTCAAATATCAGTGCTCGGTTTTGACAACAATAATTTTCTTTGATAAATTGACAAAAGAATAATTATTGTTAATACTGCATTGGACAGAATGTCTATTAAGTTCTATTGGACAGTATACACCTGTTTTCAGGAGTGATACAAACATTTCCATCATTTAAAATTGTGTTTTTTTTTGTAACAGAGGCCAAGGTTTATGAGAGTAGAGAGAGTTGCGAATAATCTGGTACATGTGTTCACTAGTGTTAATTTTTCTTAGAAATGTATAATGTATTTTTACTTGACAATTTAGTTTTTGTTCTTACAACAATTACTCTCTTCTTGCCATTGGAGTTTGCTTCTGCTGTAGGTCTTTTCCGACATTAGTTAAGAGGTTATCAAAGTTGCTCTCAAATGGCTTGCAGCCATGGACATGAATGTGAGTCCTTTACACTTCGTTTTTCCAAACAGATTAGGAGATTGATTTTTTTTTTTTTTTTGAGTCAACAGTGCAATGATTGGTTTTGGTAGTGCAACTTGTACTCCATCTTTCAGATTTTCTTTTTACAAATGCACATATTAGTTATCAGAAATCAATTGATTTGTTCATAATTGCACTTCAATTTCACCTCCGTTTTGGACACAATTTCCTCCCATCCTATCAACAAATTTTGATATCTATATTATACAGTACTCTCATCTCCATTACACCTAAATTTTCTAATGATTATAGTTTGGTAATTTTGTATCAATAGTTCCATCATTGATGTTATGACAGACAAGATAAATTGCTTGAATAGGCAAACCAACTAATTTTTAATGCATACACAAAGCATGGCATTTATCGCTGCATTGTTGATCTTCAAAATGATGCTAATTAATATTCATATCTAGTATAATTATTGCTAAATTTGCATTGTGAATTGTCTTGGATTATTGTTCAATTAATCGCGCCTGATGTTGTTATTTCTACTATGCATAAACTGCTCGCCTTTTAACCTGCCGTGCATCAGTGATTCTATCTCATTCGTGTGCAGATGACGAGAGCAGTAGAGCTCGTTGAATTGATAATGTGTAGTGGTATATAACAAATGAATACTAAACACTCAAGACGTTCATATTGGCGTGCTGAAGCCAAGGACCTGATTAATATGTACTTATGTCTTCGCCAATTCCAGTGCATGGAATCAAAAATGCTATTTACTAAATTCTTTGTTTGCTACATTCAAGACGAATAAACAATTTACATTCAGAATTTTTTTTTGTTGTGGCAGTAATAAAAATCAACCTATGATAAATATATTACTATTGGGAAAAGGGATTTTTTTAAATAAGTAAATTATAAATTAAAAGTGTATTTTGTAGTAATTTAATTAAATAAAATGAATTGGAAATTGTAATTAAAACATTGATTTATAGATGATAATGAAATTGGCATTTTAGTGAGCAAATAACACCTTAATTAAAATTTTGTAAGGATTAATGTGTTAAACCCAAAAAGAGAAATAGTAATATTTTGAAATAATAATGTGGTTTATTATTATTAATGCCACCATGAAAAATAATTTTTAATGATTATGTAACAGATTAATATTTTTTTGATGTTATTGATATTTAACAATATCAATATTTTACAATGCATTGAATTATCGTAACAATTGCATCCTAATTTATTATTATGATATCACTTTTACAGTTCATTGTAACTGATAATGTGAATGTGAATATTAATTAGGCAAAGCTAACCTTTGACCCATTTCTATCAGAAAGAGGGAGGCAATCCTGCATATTGTTAGTGTTGTTTTGCCATGCATATTATAACATTAATAATAGTAATAATAATAATAATAATAATTATTATTATTATTATCATCCTCATTATGAATAATATTTTAATTATTGTTGTTGTTCTGTCTTTTATTCTACCAACCAAAAATATTTATTCTATTTCTATAATTTGATGGTAAGAACAATTTTGTTAGGTGTCATCTTTTGAAAGTAGTTGATGAATTAGGGCAGTTGACCTGTAAAAACACTATAATGAAATTTTGAGATATAAGTTAATGAGGCTGGAGGTGATATGTAAGTACTGTATAATTAAAAGAATAGTCCATGCAAGGACCATAATTGCTTAGTTTTGATATTATCCATGCTAACATATATTAGCAACTAATGATTTCATTGAGATGCTTATTACTTTGGAAAAGAAACTATCAGACTTTTTACACTTAAAATTGAAATGAAACCCACTGTCCTACCTCTGTTATCATCCTCCCCTCCCCCATTGAAAATATGTTGCTACCTCTATTTGTACATGCTTAAATGTTTAAAGTTAAAAGAACAATTTATTTGTCCCATGTAAGCCTTATGAAGTAAAGTGAGTATTGAATATGGTACCTTATGCATACAAAAATGTTTCAATTTTGTTATATTGCAAGTTTACTATCAGAGTATAGACTGTTTCTGTAGTATCTTCAATATAAAAACATTGCAAAGGAAAAAAAGTTTCTAATACTGGTGTGTACCTTACAATTGACAATGATGGGAATATTTGTCTGTCACATGTTTATTCCACTATCAATATTGGCAGGTAAAACAGCATCTCATTAAACAAATACTGTATTGCTTAATCATATGGTTTTGTTCTGATTGTTATTTATCATTTTGTATGTTAACAAGATAACAAGAGCGTGTAATGGTAAAAGAAATATCTATGAAACACTTTGATTATGTTTAAAATTTATGGTAATGAGAATATTTTCAATGAATTCAAAGCTGAAATTATTACAGTACATGATGGCATTATTTGAGCTGAGGTAAATTTTCACAGCTTGGCATTTCAAGCAACAATATGTATACAAATTGTACATAACATTGCATGTAGATATTTACAGACGTGTGTGTTGGGGGCGCTGTTCATATACACTGCAAGATTTTCATAAAGTTTTTATTTTATGACCTTTTTTTTTTTTTCAAAAAAATAGGTTTGACAGTTTTTGTCTGTTGTGTTAGCTATCATTTTATAATAAAAAAAAAAAAAAAGAGCATATACCAAGAGTTGTACATTTGATTAAAAAAAAATTATAACACTATGTTCTGTTACAATGAAATCATGGAATTTGTACATTTTATCATTTGGGATATCTTCTCTGATTCCCACACCTGGAATTTTATTTAGATATGCTTATTGTTATAGTTAAATAGTTAATTGATCGATTGTTAAGAAGCCAACAAGTTCTGTACTGTTTTTTCTGATTTCATTGATTATGGTTGATCATTTTTCATCAATGCTATCTGACAGAATACAAAGGAACTTGCTGACTTTAAACCAAGTATATTTCTATAACATTTATTACACCAGCCTGGTTTTTACGTGAGCTTAGAATTTTGTCTTTGAAACTACAATATTCTTGTGTCGGTCACTTATGGGAAATGAGAAATTATAGTTAACTGAACCTAGGAAAATTAACCAATAAATTAAATGGTATCTATTAGTTTTGAAGCGAATCCCTCCATTTTTCAATTTATTATGGAAATAAGGCAGCAGGTTTTTAAAAACCTCTTTTTCTTATTCAGTTGATGTTCTTATTTTAAACTTCAGTAAACTAAATAGGTTCAATTATTTAACTACAGATTGAGAATTTTCAGGGGAGGGGAGGAGATGGTCCTAATTATTATCTGAAGTCAGTGACATAAAGGGTGAGAAATCAATAAACATGATGATACTTGTAAATTGTATATTTTCAAATGTTGACCTTTGTATGTTAGATTATATAACTGCCTAGAACTATCCCTGACATTGTTGCACAACTAATGGGATTCAAGTATTGACAGTTTTTAACCTCTCTCCAAAACTGTCTGGTGTATTTCAGTATATTGATGTATAAATGAACGAGAGACAACACCTCTCACCAAATGTGCGCCCTCATTTTTTGTTTGTTTTTCGGTCTTAGAGATATATCTGAAAATATGTGTATTTTGGTTATTGCTCCATTGTGAGGAGAGGGGTAATTGTCATATATTGTAACTTAGAGCATGTAGTAGATAGGTATTGTAGACAGTGCGATTTACCTGTAACATAAATGGAATCTCCTGAATGTAGCTGCAGATAGGCTGTATAATTGTTTAAAAACCTATCCGTATCTCCTGGGTGACGAATGTTTGTGATATCTGTACAAAAAGCTAATTGTGTATCACAGTTAATGGCGAGTAAAAAAGTAGATTTTTTACAAGTAGCCCCTTCAGGTCTATTTTGTAGTTCTTGTGTAGAGGTATTTTGTTGATGGACTTAAAAATTCCATAACTTATTGTTTTATGAGCTGTTGCCAAGTTTTGTACTTAACCATTTGAAAATTGTGTACATAATATTTTGATTAATTTTTGAAACATACTGCTCGAGTCTTGTGTCTCTGTTTTATGTGTTCATGATTTAAATAAATATACAAACTTTCACAAATGAGAGTTAATGGAAGTGTTGAAAACTCAGATGGATGAATGGAAGGTTGAATAAGGAAGTAGTAAAGAAATCAACAATAAGAAGAGACTGTCAAGTGGGTTCCCTAAAAACATCACCTCAAAATTAAGATTTGATCACACTGCGCTGAAATGTCCAAATTAGATTTGACGAATGGCTGAATTAATCTTTGAGTTGCAGAAGCACTCTTAGCTTATCATGAGAACCACGCATACTGAAGACTGTAGGTAACTTCATGATCCATTCATTCATCAAGTATCAACTTATTCTTCTAGTGTCAACACATAATTTAAAATTAATTACAAAAGACCAATATAGATGCACTTCAGATGAGCTGCCAATTACTAGTGAGTGGGGCGGTAGGAAATGTGCTGCCATTTCCAGAATGTGAGCGAGGTAAGAAACATGTAAGCAGGGAAACAGGTGGCTTTATTCCCCATCAGGCAGGGTAATTCTTGAAATTTGCGATAAATCTGGGAACCCCTAAAAACCATTTATGCATATGTTATAATTTTTAATCAAAGGTTAATAAATTCCATATAGAGTAAGCAAGTCAAGTATTGAATTTTAGCACAGTACAACATCCTGGCAGCTATGGTAACCAGATACAAATTAATATTAGATTGCTTGTTTGGTGACCTTGGGTCTGTTACCTTAATGTGAATTCTAAGACTCCATTTTGAAATACAGTATTAATAAAAATGCCAATGTCCTGTAGTACAATTCTCTCATAATGACCTTTGTGAAATTAGTACTGATTGGTACTGTACCAAGGACAAAAGAAGCAATTAGTAAAATCCGCGAGTGTAGCAAAAGCTGTTGAACATACTACGTACTTTCTTTTTTTTTTTTGTCTTTGCTGTGGCAGATGGGTGGGGGGGGGCTTCTAAAAATTTGCTAACACATGGTCCAATCCAAGCACCACCTACAACGCAAATTCATCTACAGTATTGTACATCTGTTTTGGACAATAATACATATTTGTAGACCCCAAAACCAATTAAATAAGCATTTGAAACCCCTAAATTGTCATTTTTCTGGGGGGGGGGGCTTCTGCCCATCTCCTGGATATCAGTGCTGAAGGGTATCGCAATGCACAGCAAAATGAAATTAGATGCAAAAGAGCTCCTTTAAACAGATTTAAGTGGCTACTTGGAACCCCTGAAATAAATTGAATGTACATGACCCTGACAATATTAGGAACTGTGTTACAATAACTTTGGTTGGATTGGCAAATGAACAAATTGGAACCATGCTTGTCTGCCCATAGTTGCTCAGAAATAGGGGAAAATACCCTTCCCAACATCCCTCTACAGTAATTTACACATTACACTCTTTACTACAGTGCATAATGGATCAGTATCACTGAAATTCATCAATTCAAAAGCAGACACAAAGAAAGCTTTCACTGGTGCTATTTATTTTATAATACAGAACCGTTCGTACTAATGATACAAATATCATTCTATAGAGTTCTTAGATTTTTTGGATTTTTTCTTCTTTTTCTTTGGCAGATCTTCAGATATATCTTGAATACTATTGTGTTCTTTTTTCTTTTTTGAACTTTTTTCAACACTTTGATCTTCCTCTTCTTTCGCCTCACATACTTCAGTTATTTCTTTCTCTAAATGTTTACGCTTTTTAGATTTCTTTTTTTTCTTTACTACAGTCACTTCCGAGGAATCTTTCTCCTCATCTGATTGGCTAATTTTGAAAGATGCTTTTGGTATACAACCATCTGACTGGTCGCTGAGGTCATCTCTTTCCTTGGAATCTCCCTCCCTTGCACTCTGCATCAACATCATTTTCTTCTTGAAGTACTCTTGTACACTCTCTTTACGGGTGATAGTCTGCACACCATAGTCGGGACAGGATGTTATGCTCTCTGTATCAGAATCATCAGAGTTCTGAGTCTGCCAAGAAAAAAATTAAATTAGGGCAAAAATGAAACCCGATTTTAAAACATGACTTAAATATGAATTCATTTTTCATGTCTCGTGAGGAGACTTCGCTGTTGGCTTGATTTACTGCAAAGCCTGACAAAGTATTCATTTTTATTGATCACAGCAAAACCCATTCTTTCTGGCATAAACTTACTGACTGTGACTGCGGAGTAACTGGTTCTGATTTACTGACACGCCTTCCCATAATGCAATCCATGTCCTTGGAACTGTATCCTGTCAAGTCCTTCCCTTTAGTAAATTTCATGTAGCTGAGGAGATAAATAAAATTCATGAAGCTGAGGTGTTAACAATTACATCACAATAATTACAAATATGAGGGCAGTGTTCACTGGTTTTGTGATAAAAATAAAAAAATAATAATTGCTCATCTAAATCGATCCAATAAATTTTACAATACTAGAAGAACAGTATATGCAAAAATCTAGGTTTTACCTGAAAGCTTGTACTGCACAAATTAAGCGATTCATGTTAACATTAAATGTTATTATATTATTTATTGGTATTTATTAAATAAAATTAACTTTTGAGTCTGCTACTGTCGTCCCCTTCAAAGATAATAATAATAATAATAATAATAGCTTCTTTATAAAACTGGTTGTCAGATGTTATATTATCAGTAATTACCGTTATGTGATAAATACTGCTTGAAAGGTCATCATATTTATCATTTTCAATAACAAATGCGAGTCCCATAGATTTGTTTATTTACAAACAAAATATCAATTTCAATTTATTTGACAATTACCAATCAATCCACAGCACTTTGAATAATGGTGGTGCAATCAACTTTATTTTTCAATAACTGAATCATATCAAAAGGTTATCAAAATCATATCAAAGTTTACTGCTAAAATGAAATTCAGTTAATTTATTTTAAATGTCACACTGGTGATCTCAGTTTGCCAATCGGACGATCTTCTGGGACAAACATTCCTCTCCACATTAACATTAACTCAATACATATGAATCATTAATATTTTTTCTGCGGAGTGAAAGCATCCTGGCATGGTCTCCGAGGACTTCAGCTGATAAAATGCAGGTTAACAAATGCAAAGTTTGAATAATAAAAAAGTAATAAATTGCCCTGAAATAATACCATAATGTGTACATCAAGGATTGCATCCCACTTTGAGGTAGGTGATTAGGTACATGGGTTTGTATTTTTTCACTTTAAAATGTCTTCATTAAAAACACATATAAGCTACTTTTTCTCCCATTTCAAAATATCATTTCGATGGGTATGGGTTCATTCTAAACTTATTGAGTATTTATTCTGTATAAACTACAAATAGAATACCCAACAAATCGTTGAATTCTCTGGCACGAAAGAGGGGCCAGTTTTCACCAACAGGGCCCCCACTGCATGTATCACCCCTGAATATTTCATTCAACATACAATTATTTTTAATTTTATAATTAATTACCAGAAAGTAAAATATTTGCAATGAAGAACTGTTTGCTAATTAATGGTTTTATATAATAAACTACAATAATGTAGTAAGAAGCATGATGATACAAATAAAATGATATAAGAACAAGAATATATTAACATTTAAACACAATCTAAGATTTCGTAATATTTATGTAAACGACAAGGCGTAAAGCAAATGCTCGATTAAAATACCTAAATGTTACCTTCTACCCCACGCTCCATATTTCCCCTTTTCCCCATATCCAGTCATTTTGCTAGAAAAAGGTTATACACCTAGTCTTCATAAATCTCAAAATTATATATTTAGAAGTGAAACTAATGTGCTGACAATATTGGCTCTAGGTGATTCACTATGCATCACTTCCCTACAATGTTGATTTGGTTTTCTACCCCAGCGGTGGCTAGATTCAGGCGATCGTGCCACTGTACCACCCATCAATTCGCCTGCCACTTCCTGACCTTTTAACTTGCTGACATTCACCCATCCTCTTCAATTTGTCCTGACATTTCTCTCAGCTGTTGCTTAGCAACTTGATGACTGGTTTCATATGTAGGGTAATGTGCCAGAAATTCCCCGGGCAAAAGTCTAACCATTCCAAAATAAATATCCAGTTCTAAGGTGACAAATGTTAACAGTGAAAATAGCGCCCCTAAGCTAGCTTGTTTTAGTATGTTTGTACCAATCCATTAAAAAATTCTACAGTAATTATTTTTCATTAATTTTTCTTTTCTATAGGCTACTGTGTGTGCTATGCCAACTTGAACTATGAAATCAATATTTGAATTTAGGTACAGTACAGCATATCAAATTTTTTTCTTGCCAATTAAGGGATGATTAAATAATTATCATTCTTATATTACTTTATAATAGACAGGAAACCAAAAAATAAGCAATGAGCAATATAAATATTTAAAAAGACTTATTTTGTTAGGATATTCAAATTTTACTACAGCAGATCCGTAAATGCATCGTTTTACAAATTATTTATTTGTGCGTTTAAATTAAAGATTTTGTCCAGATAAAATAATAAATTATGAGAACCAAATAAACAACTTACTGCACTCTTTTTTTGGATTTCTTGGACCTTTTTTCAAGACTTGTGACAGCGGTTTCAGTTGGTGTTGTATTTCCACTTGCATGGCTTGCATTCAAATTCGCAAGCAGACTATTGAAATCATCCTGATGGGCGATCCATTTGTCCTCGTGAGATACAGTGCAACCCAGACCTACAACATCAAATAAAAAAGGAAGTCGAACTAAAACGATTACAAAAATAAGTGCAATTATTAAACACTTCTATTGTTATAAAAACAAATTGGAGGAATAACATTTTTAAAAAGATATCTTACCACGTGTATTATTTTTTAGCGATACTTTGATGTGATCCTGGCAACCATCTTCATTTGCACCAAGTCCTTTTCCATCAGTCCAGCCCATTTTTTCCATTAATCGTTTACCAAACTTATTCGAATCTGTAAATTGTTGAAATTTTGATGTTAAGTTGTAATTAAGATTTTGAGTTGTTGTCCTTTCATTTTGTCGCTCACATCACGAACTAACACAATCAAAGTAGATTGTGTTAGTTCGTGAAATCACAGTAGCGCGTCAAAACGAGCGCGTATTGGTTGTCAAGCAATTTTGTATTCTTTACCACACAAAAAGTCCTTAATTGATTAGTCCAACACTAATTCACATTAGTATTCTACCTTCCCAACATCAGTGGCGGATCCCGGAATTTGAAATAGAAGGGGCCCTAGGGAGGGCCTAGACCACCTCTGCCCCAGTATGGTTGGAGCTGATGATTATAATTTTCAGTTTTTCCCATCGGGAGACCCCAGTTGTGACCTGCAGAGGGAAATAATCACTGTTATAACTGTATATGAAAATGATGAAACAAGCTGGAGAAGAAAATCTGTGTTTCTGATGTAGGACCGTTTCGGCCGCAAACAAGTTCGCCCATGATTTATGTACAGTTGAACTTGCTTAAGTCGAATTCAATATGGCATTGAATAAATTTTTCAACTTCAACTTTCAGATCAATTAATGGAAAACACAACAATATGGCATGTGAAATATGATCGAGTTTGGCAATTTTAACTGTATATTTAATTAATTGAATAACTAATAAAAATCTTAATACTGATACTTATAATAAATATGTCTATTGACTTAAAAAGTAATATGAAGTAGTATGAAGGGAAGACTAGGCCAGGCATAACATAACAAGAAACTTCTCACTGGTAACTGGAAGGCTCTATTTGTAAAGTACAGTAAGTATAGCCTATATTTAAATAAGACAAACAAAACACACTTAATTTCATGATTTTCTGGATGTTAAATACAACGCTACCGAACTGGTTCAGAGCTGAAATGCCTGGCATTCAAGAATACTCATCCATCAATCTCTCCTAACCCAGATCAAAATAATGGAATAGGGGTAGTGGCATAGTTAATTAGGGGCATAGTTCTCGAAACAGTTGCACCCACTTGGAACTTAGTTGTTGTAGGCTAAATGCACTCTATAGACATGACATTCACAGGACTAGATGTCCTCTCACAGTCAAGGCAACCATATATAATTTATCAGACTAAGTTAGAAAAATGCTTTCAATAACTAGGTCTTAAAATATACATATTAAATACAAAATTTCCGTAGCACCTTTAGTCTTCAGCTTAAATAGTCACTTTGCAGCTGATGCTCTGTTGCATCGCACTTATGGCTGGGATGGCCTACTCTTGAAAAGATGCAGAAGAAAATAATAAATAATAATTTGTTTTATAGTAAGTGTAAAATATGGGCTGCACTGCAGTGTGAATAAGCTGTGGAATTTCAAACCGGACAGGATGAAAATTTATAGGTCACTTTTTCTTGGTTTTCACTAATTTATCATTATATCTGACAAGTCTGAGTTGTCTTGGGCCTAGGGGAAAAAAGTAACCAAAGATCCTTTATGCCGATGGAAAATTCATTTGTTCTGGACGTTCGCGAATAATGTGTAGGGCCTATTAGGAGGGCCTACTGTAGGCTTGCCTAGCTAGAACTAGGCCTAGGCCTATTTACTTAATTTATGGGTCAAACTAGGTAGGCCTATTGATAAAATTATGTAGTATTTTGGTTCAATTCCGTACGTCAGTTAGACATAGCAACTACGGACGGTAGAGCTTGACAAGTCTGGTTTGCTAAGCCTAGTTACGCTTCACACTGGTATGATAGGGCAAGCCGACCTAGGCTATGCCTTGAATGCACACTGGTCTGGGTAGCTAACTAGGGCAGGCCTAGGCTAGCGAAAGTCATTGGAATAACAATAAATTAATAACTGATCATTGTACCATTTTTCCATGATGTATTTCTAGGATCGTTTGAAAGTTTTTGACGACGACGTGGTTCAGCAAGCATTGCCATTTATATTATAATTCGATTAAAAAAACACACTGATAACAAATTTAGGCCCAAACGGCAGACTTCCCGATCACGACACACACACCAAAGAGTATTTTTTGACACCAGCCACATGTTATATTTATGAATTATGTAGGCTTGTGAGTACAGTCTTGGTGCAACAACGCTACGCGTGCATGCAACGACTGGATTGTTTTCTTCTTTGAAAAATTCGTCAAATTAAAAAAATATATATATAATAGTGTCCTTCATCAATACAAATAATCTGTGGTTTTATTTAAATCATTTTATGGACTATGAAATTTATCCAAATAAGTTTATTACCATCGAAACGAATTTAAAATTAGTGATTTGAATATCAATGACGATTTAAAAACCAGTCACGGGTCAAAAGCTCATTTAAAGCCCACTTCGTCAACCAATGGAAACGAACGTTAACAATCGCGATTGACCAATCAGGTTACTCTATACTGTCGAACCGCCGGTTTCAAAACAAGGACCTGCATACAGAATTGGATTGCCGTGGTCTTGTGAACAACACTGTGAAAATTGTACTTAAAAAGAAGACTTTATTCTTGTTATTTCAATATACAGTAATAATATAATGGCAAGTAAGAAAGAAGATCTACGCGTTAAAGATGTCCCAGATATAATAGTTGATCCGTCATCAAGAAAGCGGTATATGAAAGGAAGATTTCTCGGCAAGGTTTGTAAATTGCTGTGCAGTCTGCTCTTTTTCATCCGATGTCTTCATCATACTCCATACATAGATTAGTAGAAGCTACACCATAACTATGATTAGGTTGAGCGAGTTAGCCTGGCTGGCTAGGCCGTTATCCTAAATTTTAAATGTAAAAAATGGCTGAAATCTGCACTTTTAAATAATGAGATATTGGCCTATGAAAATTTACCGAAAAATATAAATTAAACAACATTTTTGAAATCTTGCTCATTTAAAATGGGCCTAAAAAAAAATAAGAAACTTGAACCAGGGAGGAGTTATAATAATATAGGCCTAGGCCTATATAATTAGCCTATTTGGATAATTTGTTCGTAATGTTGCTGTTTTTTTAAATCTTTCATTGTAGGCCCATATTTAATTTTAATTTGTACTTTTACTAGGTATCCACTGTACTGTAGCGGCCTAGGCCTACTACGTTAATTTTTATTTTTTTGGTTTGGTTGTACAGTAGGTATATCCTGTCAGGTTTTTATAATGATTATTTCTTTTCTGTCTACTATATATTGACCTGACATAATGATATGTAAAAGATTATTTACATCCATCATTGCAAATATAAAATATTATATGAATCCTTTACTTTATGTCATTTGTAAGTATGTTACCAAATGCTATCCTGCTGCTATTAAGCAAAGGTAAAATGTGCAAATAATAATTTGCACCTACTGTAAACATTTATTGTGAGCAACAATTGTAAGCAATTCACTGTTTGCACTGATTTTTGTCATTTGATTGGAACAAGATTAATATAAAAAATAATAATAAATAATTTTAAAATTAAAATATAAATTTAAATTGAACTTGGGAAATATATGGATGGTCTACCAAGGTCAGCGCCTTGGTAGACTCAGATGTGAAGTTTTGTGCAGAATCCCATACAGGTTTGTAATGTAATTTCTTGTGTTCTTCAATGTTTTCTGAAACAAAATAAACGTAGTTTATTTTAAAAATGTGTACCCATCTATAATTTATCAGCAAAAAATGATAGAAAAACTTCCATTTTAGTCAAGTGTTTATTACTTTTATATTTATAAAGGTAGTCTTGCACATTTTTACTGTAATATCTCTAGCTTTCGTTCACTCAGTCCATGTAAATCTTATAGCTAAAAATGCTTGCATTTACAGGGCGGTTTTGCAAAATGTTATGAATTAACTGATGTTGACACTAAACAAATATATGCTGGGAAAATTGTTTCGAAAGCTCTTCTGGTCAAACCTCATCAAAAAGAAAAGGTAAGTTTGTTGAACCTAAAATTCGTCTGCCTGTCTTTATGTAGCCTAGTGATAGGCTACCACTCTAAATATTTAAATATTTGGTTTTTTAATTTATTACTTGTCAACATAAAGTAATAATACAGTATAATTAACTTATATTTTCATCAAATTACTTAATTTAATAATAAATAAAGTTACTTTTAATTACTTTCTAGATGTCAATGGAGATAGCAATTCATCGTAGCTTAAATCATCGTCATGTTGTTGGTTTCCATGGTTTCTTTGAGGATGACAACAACGTGTACATACTTTTAGAGATTTGCAGAAGAAGAGTAAGTCATGTCATATCGTTGCTAAGTCTTAGCGGCTGTTTGTGCCCTATCCTCATATTAGGCTAAAATAAATGTGGTGCCCAAGCCCTAATTACATCTGAAAATTAGAATTGGTCATTTTTTTTTTTTTTATATTAGGCCTCTGCCTAATTTTTGGGGTTCACACTGTTACATTTTGAAAATGGTAACCACAGAATTCGTTAACGTATCAAAATTATTAATAATAAGCCTGAAAAATACACTTTCAAACACCACATCAGCAAGATTAAATTGGGCTTGAGCAACACAAATTGCTATTTTTAATATTTAATAATTGGTTGCTTAGGCAAGACTTTTTTTATACCTTGTTTAATGAAACCACCACCCGTCAATTATGATGATTTGGAATAAAAATAAACATTTATTTTTGGACAATTAGTGCACCCGCCGCCACGGAAAAATGGAAGTAATAAATTTAATTTTTTCTTTATTTTTATTATGCTACCGCAGACTTGAAATCTCCAAATATAAGATATATATTTTAATCATATGAATTTAAAGCATTTAAACAATCTCATCACTACACTGTTGACATTCACCAATAAAATTTAATTTTCTCCTTCGTCTGGATGTTTTTGGCAAAAGTTTTGCAAAATAACATCAGAAAATTTAATTTTTTTTCCGCCCTCCTTTGGTGATTTAAAAAAAAATAAGTTCACAAAACAAGGTACAGTATAAAAATAGTCTCGGCTTATTTGGTATAAGATTTTTGTAGTTAAAATGTCTAATCAATAAAAACTGATTTTTATTTGCCTCTCATTTAATGAAGTTGATAGCAATAATATTTTCAGAAATTTTATTTTATACATGGCTTTTAAAACACTAAATATTTTTGCCATTTCTAAGGAGATGATAATATTAAAATACATTAACTGTACATGAGACAACATAGTACAGTTTCATTGTTGTCCCATTCGAACTTGAACCCAAAGCCCCTTAAGGGAGTTGGTGAATAAATTTGGTTTCATTCCCAATTGGGAACTACTGTAAATGTTTTTCTCAAAAATAATCATTTTTAATTTACTGATGTATGTGTTTTTCCATACCATTAAAAAAAATGTGTATTTAAGTGTGAAAGTTTTAAATATGAATTCTTTCCTTTTTGCTTTATGAAATTATTAGTCTCTAATGGAACTCCACAAGCGTCGTAAAGCTATCACTGAACCGGAGGCACGATTTTTTATGCACCAGACAATTTCAGGCGTACAGTACTTACACAAAACCAAAGTTATACACCGAGATCTTAAGCTAGGAAACTTGTTTATCAATGACGAAATGGAAATAAAACTTGGAGACTTCGGCCTTGCGACCAAGATTGATTTTGAAGGGGAGAGGAAAAGGTAACTAGATAAAAAAAAGTTTAAAAAGGAACTAGAAAAATGATTTTTTTTCCTAGAGGTTATTTTTGATATGCCATTAATAATAGAATCAACCTTAAAATCATTTTTTTTTGGCAAATTTTTATGAAGTTATAGGCCATTATATATGATTTTACCGTGACGTCACAGCGACAAAAGTAACAAAAGATCGTGTGTAGATTCTCCGCCGCGTAAGATCTTTGCGTGCATGCTGTAACCAAAAGTTACCTTTTTGGCCAGTGACGTTAAGGTAAAATTGTATGGATGCATTCCATTGAAAATTAGAATACGGTGAATTGTGCCGTCAACTATCAAATTTTCCATGTCCAGCAGCAATGATTTGCCCAGGGGATGATGGTGTCATACTCATGGGTAAATCACATTTAAAAGATGCCTAGATATTAACACATCTTTATTTGTATATTCCAGCATAGACTATTGAAATAAACAGGGTGTGTAGTTTGTAGGTCTTGGAGACAGATGTGTACATGTTAATATGTCTTGCTTACTTTTTGTTATAGAACATTATGTGGCACACCTAATTACATTGCTCCAGAAGTACTTGCCAAAAAAGGACACAGCTTTGAGGTTGATACTTGGTCTCTTGGATGTATCATGTAAGTGTTAAAAAAAAAAAAAGAAGCAAATTGACTGTTTCTCAGTTCTCATGATAAAAAAGGGATACCATTCAGTACTTCAGCTATTACTGGTTTATATTTTCATAAAGCTTTTTTGGAATTTTAACACCTAATATGAGGCATATTTACCTAGGTATCAATCCTGGAGAATGGAACTTTTTAATGTGTTTAACTTGGAAGTCTCAATTTAATGTTATACTTTTTGTATAAGGTCCGTTTTGTTGGTGTAGATTACAATCAGTAAGTACAGCTATAAGTGGGGTCGTGAAATATTTTCAGGTATACTTTGCTGGTTGGTAAGCCGCCTTTTGAGACCTCATCCTTGAAAGATACCTACATGCGCATCAAAAAGAACGAGTACTACATCCCTTCCAAGGTGTCATCCTGTGCACGCTCTTTGATCCAGCGTCTACTGAAGAATGACCCATCACTGCGGCCATCTGTTGAAACACTACTGCACGATGAGTTCTTTACAAGTGGATATATGCCGCCAAGGCTACCAACCTCATGTTTGACAATGGCACCACGCTTTGCCAATAATGGACCTGCTGTTCAAACAAGAAAACCACTATTGGAGCTAAACAGTGCTGGTAAGAGAATACCATAACATTGCACAAATTTATCTAAACACAGTTGGCATTCTATCCCTACCAGGTACCCATCTATAATCCTGGGTGGAGATAGACAATGTAGAAAATTGCTTTTCCAAGGACAAAATGAAAATGCACTCAAACCACAACCATTGTACCAACGACTTCCACTACAATAATTAACAATTTATAAAGAATAACTCAGTATAGTTTTGAGTTCAAATCAGGGGCAAATCCAGAGATGTCCGAAAGTGGAGTGGGGCTGATCAAGAGAAAACACTACTGTAGACACCCAGAAATAACTTTTGGCCGAACAATAATTTCTTTTCCTTTTTGACTTTCCAAAAAAGGGGGAGGGGGTACCCGGCAATCCCCCTTCCCTAAATCCGCCCCTGAAAATTTTTTAATAAGTAAATTTTAACATTGTTAAACTTTTTTAACAGAAGGATCTAACCACAAAGAAGCTGTATCACGCAAGTCTTCTAAGCCAGATTGTAACAAACCATCTCAACCTAAGGAAAGTGAAGGTAAGCCAAAATCAAAGTTAATATTATTTTAAAGCTAGGTACATATTCTTATATTTGCAATAAACTGCCACTGTATATTGTCTAATGTTCAGTATTATTTATTTCTAAAAAAAATATTAAACTAAATGTAAAATTTAAAAACCCAATTGGAAGGTATAAATTTAGAAAACAATGTAGACTGTTCACAAAATAATTATTACACAGACTGTTATGTCTACTTGCTTTAATTTTTGTGTTTTTTTTTTTTTGTAATTGAAGGAGATGAACCAACTGGAGATTATTACCTTGATGAACTACTAGCACAACTTAACTCATTATTACATAGCAAAGCTCATGAAATACCTGATCCTCAGTTAGGTAAGTTACAGCACAACTCAACTCATTAAATAGCAAAGCCTCACCCTGATCCAAAATAACACCAAAAATATTTTGAAAAATTAAAAATTTAGGGCTATGGTATTCAATCAGCCCCAGGGTTAGAAAATGAATGTTGTGCATCCCCAGTCACCTTAGATAATTTAGCATGCTGTCAATGAATGATTGTATGCATTTAAGTTTTAAATTAAATTTCAAGCACAAAAACCATTTTATTTTTGGTTAGTGAATCAATGAAGCATTGGCTAAATTTTGTACATTAATAAGGAAACATGTGTTGATTTATTTTTTTTTTAGATGAAGCCGAGGATCCTGCAGCCATACCAATCCTATGGGTCAGTAAGTGGGTAGATTACTCTGATAAGTACGGACTTGGCTACCAGCTATGTGATGGCAGTGTTGGTGTACTATTCAATGACTCTACAAGATTGCTACTTAACTCTGATGGAGAGTAAGTCCAATATTATAGATGTGAAAAGTTTCCAGATGTTAGTTGAGGTTCAAAATGTTATTTTATGAACGAGAATAGCAATCTGATCCTAATTTTTTGACACCATCTGATTTGTATATTATCTTTTTACAAGGCACTTTTCTGACTGCAATTTCTACTAATTAATCTCAGATAAGAAAGAATAATGCATGCCATCGTATTGGGATTCAATAAATGTTGAAATATTGAATATTGGAGTATGTATTATACTTTCTTGCGTTGCAATTTTGTAAACAAGATTTTGACGACATAGAAAATGCGCAACAAATTGTACAATCTTGTTTGTCTTGTTTTAGGAATGTACAGTACATTGAACGTGAGGGACAGGAGTTCTTCCACACTTTGAAAAGCTTCCCTCAAGACCTTACTAAGAAGATCACCTTATTGAAATATTTCCGCAACTACATGAGTGAACACCTCTTGAAGGTAATTGAATCATGAATTTACAGTAATACTTGTTTGTAAAGCACCAAAAGTTTCGAAAGTTATATGTTTTTACAAATATTTTTTTGGTTTTGAAAAGTATTTGGTATTGTGCAGATGTAATTAATGTTTTAAATTAAATTATTGTATTTATTAGTATAATTTATGTTACACATTCCCTAACATCGTCATTCACAACGTACATTATGTTTGACAAAAATGACTAAAGTGTAAGAACCATATTAACACTGATTTATATTGTACTTTTTTAGGCTGGTGGAAGTATGACACCTCGTGAGCCCGAGACAATGGCACGTTTACCTTGGCTTCGTTCATGGTTCCGCACTCGTAGCGCAATAGTTCTCCATCTCACAAATGGTACACTACAGGTGAGTGAATTGAAATTATGCAAATGAGACTCATGGATATTTTATATGAAGCTTATGAACAAAAAGATGATAATGTGCTTATTAAAAATTTCATTCATTTTTATTCGGTTATCCCAACAAGGCCCTAGGGCATTCAATTTTAGAAGGGTAATTTTTGTATATTGTTTTTCCAGATTAACTTCTTCCTAGACCATACCAAGATTATACTTTGCCCTCTCATGGCCGCGCTTACGTATATCGATGAAAAGCGTAACTTTCGTACATTCCGTATGAAGCAGCTTGAACAGTCTGGCTGCAACAAGGAGCTCCTCAGTCGTGTGCGTTATGCACGTACCATGGTCGAACGTCTTATGACCTCAAGATTCTCTGGCAAAGGAAAGACATCTACTACAGCAACATCTTAGTTGGTTTTCTGTACATATTAAATGTTAGGTGTATACAGATGACTTGCTTGTATATAGAGATTATACCCAATTTGTATTGTTAATTTTTTATTACAGGTTTCATACTTATGAACAGAATATTGCCACTGAATTTTGAAAGTGCTACAGTAATCCTAATTGTAATGGATATTTATCGATGGAATTATGCTACGCTCTGCATTAGCCAATCACAGGATCTTGTGATGTTTAGATTCTCAAAAGCATAGGAGAGTGATGGCAGCAAAATAATCACATGGCCATGTGATGAAATTTGGCACAGTAGTCCCTGTGATGTCAAAACCAGATAATCCTATGTCTTTGTTTAAAAAGAAAAATAATCATGTTTGTAAGCTGCTACTGGAATTTCATGTTGTCAGTTTATATAGCATAAATGTTTACTTATTTTTTTGACTGTCAAATGTGTTTTATTTAAATCCAAATCTTAGTCTAGAAAAATAGTACGCAACAATAAGAATGATTTTTTAATTTTATCAATTGAATGCTAATCATTTTCTATATTATATTATGCTGCCATACTATAGTTGCTTGTATTTTTAAGCAGGGAATTATTTTGTTTGTATTGTATTTTATTACAATACAATACAAACAAAATGATTGTATTGTATTGTATTTTAGTACACTACAATGGTAAAGTTGATTGTATTTTTAAGCAATCAAGAATTAATATATCTTACATTTTTTTCAAATATGGTATTGGATAAAGCTCTGTTCACTCTACCTAATTTCAAGTGACAAAATACCTGTCACAGATCTTGATAGTGTAAACAGACCTTTTTTTCTGCAAAGCTGCAGCACCCCCTATTATATAGCAGCTTTAGTGTGTTGTCAGAGAGAGAAGAAACATGAATCAATCATCATTGTATATATACAGTATACTGTTTATTGAAAATCCTATGGTTTCTATAATGTACAAATCACTGTGTCAAAATCTTAAATGTTATGATTTTCTTTGATGAATTTAGATTAAATTGTAGATACTGAGAAAAACAGTTGTTCTGTCTTGATGAAACTGTATTTTGAAGGAAGGTTATGACAATTTACAATAATTTATAGAGGATTCACAAACATGCCCTTCACAATCTCTACTCGTCGCTCTCGAAAAAGCTCTGCACACACAGAGCTATGCAAATGAGCCAGGAACAAACCTGCCACAGTGCGTGAAGAACGTTTGCACAATGCCTTTGAGGTCTAATGTGTTCCGTCCCGCCACTAAATTCTCAGCAGGCTTTTATGGCAAAATGAAGAGCACCTTCTTTTCTCAATGTGGCAATCATTTCCACCTTGAAGCTAATACTGTACATTTATCTTTCATGATATACCAAACATAGAGTATTACTATTTCTACAAACATTTAATGAAATACTGTATTAATATTTCTACAAACATTTAATGAAACATTTACATGAGCTATGGTATATTTCAACTTGAATTTCCATAAATTGGATAAAACTCGATAATTCTAATTTTAACATATTAATTAAGGAATGATTGAGGATTATTCGAAAATCCATCCAAAGTAATTTTTTACATTGCCTTAGCTTTATAGATGAACCAATTGATCTTTAGACAAAATTATAATAAACACTGAAGTAGTTGTAAAAGTGTGAAAAAATCAAAGCAGGGGAACATTGTTAATTTTGAAGATATGATATAACTGTTTATTGCACAACTGCCATGTTGAAGCGTATAAAAGTATGTTGTTGCTAACAAAAAAAATGCTATTAATAATATAATACGGCCAGCGCGCGATCCAAAGGCGGGGAACACATCGTTTGTTGCGTCAATGGGATCTGTTGCCAAGTGACCTCCTTCCCAATAATACCACACATCCAACAAAATACAATTAAACCTGTCCAGCTAAGCTCATGTTGCCCTTTGACTCAACTGACCTCATCTGGGTTGCTGGTAGTGCTTAGACTTTCATTCGCTATCGCTCAACTACAGAACTGTAGGTAGAACTCGTTGCCCAGAGCGCTTAATTTAAGACTAGTTGTCATGCAACGCTAACAAGTACAGTAATGCAATGCTAAAACATGCGGCGGCACATGAGTAGTTAATATAATAGAATTATTGAGTTTCTACTTTCTCATAATCATTCAATCACTTGTCAGTTTTTTTGCTGCACAGCAAAATAAACCACAGGCAGCTAAGATCAACTTGCAGATTGCAAATTGCACAACTCACAGTTGCCTGCAAGGGCAACAAAAGCTTCAAGAAAGCTTTAATTGTAGACAATTACTGTACTATTTATGAGTATAGCTGGCGAGTCTGTAAAACACAGCAATCTGGCTGCAGGCACTATAGTATATAATTGTAAATAAACTTAATGAATAGCCACTTGGCAGTCAAGTCCAAGGGAGGAAATTACAATGGAGAAGAATACCAAGCAAACAATAGCTTAGGAAATAAAACAAAATTAATTTGGTTTTTGGATCTTTTATATTAAAATGATGATGTAAATTGAAAATGAATCTATAATTCCCATTGAATGCCATGGAGCCTTTTAGACTCTTTCGTCTTGAATATCTTGTCTTGTTTTGATCTGCCCAACACATGACAGATGCAACATACCAATAGAAGACTGGACAACATGAAGCGATCAATCTTGTCACAACCTACAATTCGGAAAATAAAACAAAAAACTTCATAACTCATAAAAAATTGAATAACATTAGTGTCAATAGAAAGTTGCAGGAAAACATTAAGAATCCATTCAATATATGGGTCTATACAAAAATTATGGAAATTATTGGCAAGGACCTTTTTTCCTTGTTCAATTTTCAATTGAATGTACAAAGTAAATATAATCAAATGTTGAAATTTGTTGTTTAAAGTTTGTTGGCTCCAACTACAAAAAAATGTGAAGAAATCTGCAAATATAAATTACCTCTATGTTGATACAAGTAATTCCAAAAATGAGCAATGCCGTCAAATGAGCTACATAAACAAACACTCCCTCTGAGAGGTAACCAACGGTTGCTGTTGACAGTTTCTTTGTTGGAATCAATCCAAGGTAATTAACAGAGCTCCAATTTTTTAGAATATAATCCCAAATTGCACTAGTACAAATGATTATCATCGGCAAAGCGAGAAGGAAGTTTGGTATTTTCTTGAGTTGATAGTATTTAAGGAAGCCAACATCCCAGTAATGATTTTGTATGTAGGAATAAAGTAATGGTACTCTGTCATGACACCACGGTGATGCATTTTCTCTAATATGCAATGCTTTCGAAGAAATTCTGTCCATCATATATCCAAAAATATTTTCATTATCTGTACATAAGTGTACATAGCCATATAACTGATATGCAAGAAAAGGAAATATGATAAATAGTATGCTAACGAGAATTGTTATTCCATTTGTACAACAAAACAAAACAGAATGAAATGTTGAATATTTAGAGTCTTTTCTCATTATTATTCTAATGTTATGTTTTAAGAGTTTATATAGAATGAACCCGCACGATACCAGTCCATTTGATCTAGTCAAAGTTGAAAATGCAAAGGTTACAGCTGAAGTAATGTACCATTCTTGTTCTATAAATAGCATTCCATAAAATGTTAGTGCTGCAAATAATGATTCTGTGTAAACCGACGAGAAGAAAATTGTCGCTGGATTTATACAGAAAAGTAAGGCTGAATTAAAGGCCAGTTTGCCATCATTTAAAACACATTCTCCTAATGAATATATCCCACATGCAGCGATGATGAATGATATGATGTTAATTACTATAGCAGCTAGAAGCAAACAGCTGTGCATGTTAAGGAAGTATCTCAGAGGCAGCAGAATTGTATTGGCAACGGTTTTCATTAAAAATGGAAGGAATGGAAAAAAAGCATATTGTCTCTCGCTGATGTACCCGGTTTCAGCAATCGTTAAAAAGTGAGCGCCATCCCACTTTCCAAGTCCTCCAAAGAGGAATTCCACTATGATGTCCCCAATAGATAGCTGTTGAGATGGTTTGTAGTGGAATGCATCAGCGTCATGATCCGGTACAAGATTATTCAAGAGAATCTGAAAAGAAAATAATATGTACTCAGTACAGTATCACTGGCTATACTGAACTGAACACTTTCTATGATTCATGAATATTTTATTTTTGATAATAAAAAAATAATAATAATAAAGAAAGCAGTATGATGGCAATATTTTAATATTATTAATCAATATATTAAATAATAATTATTATTTTTGTAAACTAAGAGCAAGGCATAACCTTGTCGTTCAGGCTCGTATGCACTATTAGTCGTATCAGGGAGTTGAGTTGCAGATTAAACCTATACTAGGCCTACTTCATATGCACTCGTGCATACCATCCGCTGTGCCTGTGCTGTGGTCTGCAGTCGGCGATATGTCGGGAGGGAGAGGTCAGGAAACTAGGTATATAACACTACTATAAATAGTAGCTTAGTGACCTGTGATAATTACTAAATCACTTTATCAACATTTCTTTGAAATCATTTACTATTATTATAAATTGTACAATTAATTTCATTACCTGTAACAGAAGAACGGAAGCCCGTGATACGAAAGCAATAATAACAACATTTCGTTTCATGGAGGCCGCCATTTTTAGGCTTGAAAAACAATTTTTTAAGTAGAAAAAATTTTCAATTTATAAACTAAAAATGGAGTAAATATAAGTTATAAAAATATATTCTAATATAATTGATTATTACTTAGTAAAATAATGTTGTTTAATGAATTTTAAAATACATGAATTAGATTAAATTTTATATTGATTGACAAGGTTAAAAGCCATTTTGTAAAGGTCTTGGATTTGGTTTGTTGTCTTTTCCGATGAGAGCTTTGTTTATGGACCCTTGTAATTTTGTTAATTATGGCAGACCCGAAAGACTGTCCCTTACAGTTTTCTGAATTTAAAGAAGTAGATCATCGTAAAACATGTCCAAGATATTCTTCTGGTAAATAAATTTGTCACAAACGATTAAATTTACTTTAGATGCACATCGAATCATACGACGCCTAACCTAGCCCAAACAGGGTGCCAGAGCAGAATAATGTACACGTATTGATCTAGCTGCGGTACCCCGATTCACGGGCCTAGCCCACTACAGACCACAGTTTAGATATGCAGTGATGAATGCCTATGCCTGATCCGGTCTTTGGTCATTATTTATACCTTATTATTATGAACAATTGTATATTATATATGTTTGCTTTTGACACATTGTTTATTTAAATATGGTTTGATGGTTTAGATATTTGATGTGTTCCAATTTCCCTCAGACAGACGGAGTGTTGCAGCAGTAGGCGTAAAGCCTAGATGGGAAATTGACCCGACCTGCACTTTGTTAATATATTTGTTGTGTTTTGACAACAAATATATTTTAATCCAAATTATAAAATATGGCTTGTGTCAGTAATTTAAACCTAGGCCCTAGAAATCCATCCATTTAAATATAATTATGTCCCAATTTCCAGCAAATTTTGCAGAAATTTAGGCTTTATATATATATAAAACAAATATACCTGTATTGTGCAGTATTTGCAATTCTGGTAACCTATTTTTCTATCAATTTCAGTGCAAATTTGAGTTAGTTTTCAATGTTCCACCTGCATAAATATGGTACTTTACAGTATGGAAGATCACTTATGGTGTTAAGGGCAGAATTATAATACCCCTTTATAAATGCATCTTAATAGTAGGGCCTGTTCCTTATAATATATATTATCTTTTGTATCAAAACTATCAGATAATTTTGTAATGTAGTCATTGATTGTAAAACATGTGAAAATAGGTAATTATTACCTTTTTGTTTTAGTCTTAATAAAGTTTACATAACTTTAATACTTAATATTTCTAATATGTTTACATTAACTTGTTTTTTTTTTCATCTTAAAATTTCAGTTCTGGAAAGGTCAGAAGATGAAGGTATTGTCCCGGAAGAGATTGACACGCTGCAGCTTGAGCTAGAGACTCTCCTGGCGGCAGTAAGCCTTCGTATGCAACAACTACACACAGAGTCTCAAGTGCTGCAAGACTGGCAGGATAAAAAAGATGGCAAGAAAAACCCAAAACCAGTCAGTGTAATGCAGCATTGTTTTTATAATTAACAATACTATTTCTATTACTACTATTATAAATAATACAGTTGAACTTGCCTAAGTCAAATCCAAAATGGCATTGAAAAATTGTTCTTTGACTAAAAGATTGTTAATTAATAGAAAACACAACAGTATGGCATATAAAATAAGATCGAGTTAGGCAAAGTGGACTTAAGCAAGTTTTACTGTATGTTATATTATGTCGTTCTCTGTTGTCAACAGATGTCGGTTACCGTTCATTACGCCTGAATGACTTCATAGGCTTTCTGGAAAAGGCATTTTAAAATCCAATATTTTACCATCAAAATGTACTAAAAACACAAAAGCTCGCATTATAATAGTTGTCGAACACATATTTAATTGTCAATTAAAATTGACAAAGAATAAGTAAGATACAACATCTTAATAATTGCGTTAGAAATTGGGATCAATGGTTTGCCAGTGGAGAAAATGGTGTCTGTTTGAACACATTTTGCAACTATAGCAACGGAGTAGTATCACATGGTATCGTGACATAACACTGTAGTGTCTATAGGAATTTTTATCTTGCCTTTGTCAATGGATACAAAGTAATGGCTGTACCTCAGTCCTGGCCCAGCATGCATGTAGCAAAGAATTGTATGGCATAGCAACCATTGTACTTTAACATTGTTCTTGTAAAAAATGTATACTATATGTTATGATTTCTGTTAATGGAATAAAATTATTTCTTTGCTTTCTCTAGAAGGAAGAGGCCAGCCCTTCTGGAAAGCGTGGTAGGGTTGATGAAAGGTTAGAGAAACCGTCCAAAAAAGCCAAGGAATCAGGCAAACCTGGAGCCACTGCACCATCTGGCCCTGGTCGACCCAAGGCTAAGAATATGCAGGTAGTTATCTGTTCTCATATTTTTTTTTTTTTATCTGACACTTTTTTTTTTCACATTCTGTACAAAAACATGTATGTTCTACATGACAGCAGTATGTTTTTTTATTGAAATGTTTTCCTTGTTTTTTATGCCTTTCAATTGTCAAATATCTATTTTTTTTTATAAATTGGCCCTTGAGCATTTATCAACCCATACTCTTCTCTTTTAATTATATTGTTTTTCTTAATACATTCGCAGCAAAAATTACAAGAGTATGAATTTATAGATGATGCACCTGAAATCCCACGAATCCCACGCAACGATGTTCCGGACAGATTCTGGGCATCAGTAGAGCCGTACTGCGGTGACATCACCTCAGAGAATATGAAGACACTAGATGAGTTAATACAAGCCCACGAAAATGATGCCGAGTACTTCAAAGTGCCCCCTCTTGGCAGGCATTATTCAACCCGATGGGCACAAGAAGATCTATTAGAAGAACAGAAAGAAGGTAGGATCTGGAAAAGTGATGTAACTCTTTATTTTGCATCCAGTGTTCAACCACTCACACTCTACACATTTTTTTACTACCAATTCTAGTATTAGCTAAGCATCTTTTTACTTGCAATTATCGACTTTAATTCCTAAATGTGTAATTATGTGCTAAACCCTGTTTCATTTAAAGTTGTTTGGTGCAGCGGAAACGGTTTGGTTTCCCAACCTCGAGGTCGAGGTTTCAATCCCTCGCTGTGCATTTCGCTTGTGTCCTTGAGCAAGGTACTTTATCTGCATTGCTTCTCTCCACCCGGGAGTATAAATGGGTACCTGATGGGGTTGCCTGCTCCTGCGCTGAATACCAGCAGCAACACTTAGCATGTGGACCTATGACCAGGTAAAGGAACTGCGCTTTATAACCGCAAGGAAGAGGCGCGTACCAGTACCAGTACCGGTACCAGTTTGTTTTTATTTTTTACAAAGGTGGACGTATTGGGGAGAAAAAGAAAGGTTTGTCTGGCAACTCTGCAGCATCACAAGGCAAAGAAGTAAAAAGTATGTTGAAGAGGGCTGAAGCTTTGTAAGTAAATTAATAAATTGGAGGGTGATGATGGGTTGTATTAACTGGGGATGTACAGTATTCCATAATCTTGCCGCTAATAATCAACACTTTGATATTTGAAGCTATCACGCATCCACTATACAAGAGTATATGTAAAACGGAGACAAGCACATGGCCAGCTTCAGACTCGTAGGAGGCTCTAAGTGTCTACCCTATCAATTTTTTTGGACAGAAAACTGTTGTATGGCTATGTATACTCATGATGTGATGTGAGGATGACCATATTTAGGCATGTTTCATGTTTTTCTCAAATAAAATTTGATAGTCTGGACAGGTCTTAACACATGTTACTGCATTCTTTTAGGAAATGCATTGTTCCCATTTGATATAAATTATTAATAGAATGTACATCATTGCAATAGCAAATTTTAATTGGCTAGAAATATATCTAAAATAATAGTTTCATGTTTGGTTTTTTTTGTCAGACGAGAGCGGGAAAGTGAAGTGTGTCCATTTGGACCACTGACGCAACGGTTAATATCAGCCCTTGTAGACGAAAACATTATGATGCCAATTGAAGATATTATAATGGAATCCAATAAGGTTAGAAGTCAAGTTCTATCAACTGGTTTCTTAGAATCTACAACATGGTTTCATACGTTTTATTTGATTTGATACACGTACAACTTCACTAGATTCTGGTTTGTTTTCTAGGCTTGTAAGCTGGCCTATTGGGACTGAATTTAGCTTTTGGAGGCTATGCATCTACTTAGAAATATAAAAGGAATAATTATAGTTTATAACATTTTTATAATTATCATATTATCATATACTACACATTCATTTGCATTTCAGGTTGAAACACCAGTAGAAGCAAAGGAGTCACCAAAAATAAATAGCAGACCCTTTTCCGTACCCCACACGAGGGCGCTAGAAGCACGAATTAGGGAAGAGCTGTTCAATCAGGGTTAGTATAGAACTCTACCAGTTATGTCAATATTTAGGCTGGTGGTCATACAACCATCCCAATTCCAGAGAGTGGAAGGCGATGAGGCATGTACATTGGATCGTTTTTAATGGTGATCCCACTCAGCCTGCCATCGACTATAAGCAGACAGCATCGCACCATAAAGTATTCAGAGTGCTGAGATGGATTCATCGGCCGACATGTTTGTCCAGCTTAAGAGCCATAAAGCATTCAGAGTGCTGATATGGATTCATCGGCCAACATGTTTGTCCAGCTTAAGAGCTTTATTGCTGACCCACATGTGTAATTGCTGCATTATAAGAATGCCTTGCTGTTACTGTGATACAGTACTTGATTTTGCCAAATTCTACCAAAGTACCATAAGATGATTGTATGTTTATTTCCCATTGCTTAGGTCTTCTAGACTTCGATGAAAAAGCATCTGATGGCGAGGAAGATGAGGTGTTAGCGGAACTGCAGAAGCGCCAAGCAGAGTTGCGTGCACTCTGTGATCGCAACCAAACCCAGAAACAGCGTCTTTACAAACTTGCCAAAGATCAAATAAAACGGCAAGAGCTGAGGCAGAAGATGAGGGGAGCTGACAATGAGGTTTGTTAAATAGAAATCATTCTGTTTTAGCTTAATAGAAAGCTATGTCCAGACAATCAAATTTTCTTTGACAAAAAACTGCTCTATGCTCATATATAGACATGATGTGTCTATATATGGTCATGATGTGCCTATATATGGTCATAATGTGATGTCATCATAACAGTACTGTATTTAAGCATGTCGCATGTTTTTGTCAAATAAAATTTGATAATGTGGACAGGGCTTTAGTTAGGTTAAACTGATAACTTTTATTCACAATTGTAATTATCTGTACATACGTTTGCTTTGGATTGTGCTTTTAGTTAATGATCATTAGTGATCAAAAGTATCATATTTACCCCGGTTATTCTTTCTTATTTAAAAAAAATAAATTTATTTTCAGTAATTTAAGTATTTGTTTGTTTGCATTACAGGTTTTAGAGTGCTTCAGAAGGCTTATGGCTGCCAGGCAGAAAAAACGATCACCAACAAAAAAGGAGCGCGACCAAGCAGCCAGAGCATTAAGGGACCGAGATGCCGCTGTCCGTCAACTCGAGGCCTTAGGCCCTGAATTATATTCCTGTTAGAAATGCTTGGCAATAGAGACTAGTTATATATGGCTCTATGGGGTTAAAGGTTAGCCACTTGCCTGATCATTTTTAAGGTGTGCTATTATATATTTATTAGCAATGTTTCATGGATGAGAAATACGATGAGAAAACTCCCTCACACTTTAAAATATAACAAGTACGCAAGTCCTTTTCAAAATAAGAAATACAAAACAGTTGGAAATTTTATGGCAGGTTTTTATTGCGTTCACTCTGTTATGTACACGGCAAGAATATGAGAGGTATAAGACATCCTATTTTAAAGTATGAGGATTCACATATCCTCAAAATGTCTTTAATTGCACAATTCTTAAAAGTTTTCCTATTTTAACTTGCAATTATCAACATTTATATGCAGGGTGCTTGCAGGCATACCTTTCAGAAATCTTTTTTTAAATAAAGATTCTGTAACAACAATTTTAACTCTCAATGGTCTCATATCAAGATATACACTGAGGAGGACCCTCAAAATGCCACTAAACACCACTGACCAAATTATTATTCTAGTAAACCAAGCATAAATAGGCCGTCACCTCATTGAATACGATATAAATTGAAATTAAAAGCACTGAAGATGGTAAGATATTATTTGAATCTGGCAATTTAAAAGTATCATTTCAATTCTCTGTACATATTTTGTATATTAAAACATTTGTAGAAATTTACTAGATGAAGAAACATCAGTTGTCCAATGTCTACTTTAATCTTCTTGATTAGAAAGCAAAACAAAATACATTTATTATAAGTTTCAAATATTCAAAATAGTATCACACTTGCATCTTATTACAACAACAGTATAATTACAATAATTTGAAGTGCATAGATCCAAATAGCGCATGATTAAGGCCCATACGCATACCTTGTGTCTTTTTTCAATTACTCAATTTCATTCATTTTCTATTAAAAAAAATTGTAACATACATAACACAATGGTTGATAAGCAGAAAGACTCCATTGATTCGTTACTGTGGGCCAATTCACTACACTTCGCAGTAGGAGTAAAACGTTTACTTTACATTGCTACGAGAACCTTGCAAATATAGACTAGTATATCTGTTCAAAGCACAGAGACAGCATAAACCATCTAGATATGCAGTATCTAAAGCATTCATAGCATTCTGTGAGCCAACCCTTACAGTATATGTGGCAAAGATAAGCCAATCCAGTCACTCCTTGCAAAAAATTGATTTTTAGTTAATACAGTTAAAATCTAAGTTATAAAGTGGTAAAGGAATTGTTTAAATCTGATCTCATTATGAAGTTTCAGGAGTTGAAACTTAACTGCTTTTTAAAGAACAGTATTTGAGAAATCGGCCTTCAAAGTTTACGATTTCGGACATTTCTTAGGCAAAGACCATTACCAAATCATTAAAAACTGTTTTGAACAGCAAATAAGAACATAGCATGATGTATAGATATGTAAAGTTTAGTTCAGTGTAATAAAATAGATTTCAAACATTTTGACATTCCAGCATGTTTTGGCCATTATTTCCGAAACAGGATTTGCGAGGAGTGACTGGTTTGGCTTGTATTTACCACATTTCTTCCTTCACTAAACCATCTCATTCAAATACAGTTTAAAATGTTTACAAAAAATAACTGTATTATCACAGAATCATCATTAAATTCACTCCTTACAATCTGTATAAATTTATACTGTACAATTTTTTATTCAGAACATCAGAACTGTAGATTTTTTTTTAATGTTCTTAGCATGCTGTTCTACCATACATCAGTACTAGCATTGATGTTCCTTTCGATTACGAAAACCAATGTGGAATTGTTTCCAATTACAACCCGTACTTTATGTCTCCTTTATTCATTTACATAAAATAGATGTTTAATAATGTATTAATATTCTAAATGTTTGGTTATTTAGAAAACTAAAATTAAAAAAATTATGCAATCTTATTTATACTGAGACTATATAGTCATAATCAGAACAAACTATTTATGATCGTAGGCAGAGGTAACACCCTCTTAGGTGGCCTGGTGGATCCTGCCAAAAATGCCAAGGGCTTGCACCTTAATTTAGGCAAAGTTAGTTTAGTCATAATTTTTAATCACAACTATTTTCAGAATTTTTCAAACAGGGGGCACAACATACTGAAAACAGATAAGTGAGTAGCGCTAAATTCAATATTTGCATTGAAATTTTAAAATTTAGTGGCGAAAAGGGGGACGTCCCCCTACTAGATCTGCCCCCTGATTTTCTCCAGATGGGGTCAGAGCCTTCCCTGGTTTGTACGCCTGCGTATGTGCCGATCATATTGCTAAACAAATAAAATTGCATATTGTCCCACACTTCAATCATATCTTATATATTTTATGTATAACATAAACAATGCACATATTATCGTCTAAATATAGGTTTTATGTGTATAATAAATAATAATATTTTGTTAAGTTATATAATTTACAGTATATTGCAAAAAAAAAACAAAAAAAAAAAACCAGAAAAGTGGCTGGTAAGCTCTGGTTATACTAAGGGACCCTGAGTAATACAAAACATAGATGTATAGTCTCCTGGCAATTTTGTTTAAATCGATAAATGCCTTTCAAAAAAGAGTATCACTTATAGAGTGTAATCATAGGGGAAATATCACCCATGCAGGTAACAGCTGCAGTTGGATATATACCACATGGTCATGAAAGGGGCCATCACCCAGTCCCCTAACCTTCCTTTCAGACAAGCTTAGTCTGCTGTCAGTAACAACTTGGATAAAAAAAAAACATCTCAGAATGTTATAAATGTTTTCTAGACGCCAGGGGGCTTCACTGCTAGCCCCACACAATGTCCAGCCCTCTAGCGCTGTTGGTATTGGCCGGGAATTGTTTTACCCAATCATGTTTGGGCAAATCTATGTTCTGCCACTTCTCACTTGCTGTAGTTTTTAATAAAATCACTGCCTGCTCAGTAAACTGATCAATTTGTAGCATCAACATATGATTATGGTTTATAAACATAGAATGACTGTAATTTTCTTAAGAACAAACATCAGAAAATGTAATGAAGCTTTGGGGCTGATTACTAAAGCTACATTCTCATAATTCAGGATGTAGATAGCAACATGACTACAACCATCCACTCTGCTGTCTACAAGCTCGGATTCAAGCCAGGTTGATAGGAAGATATGAATTTGACTAAGATACATTTTGGTAATCATGTAAACAACTTTATTTTCTTTACCATAAATATGGTTCCTTGCATATGGATAAATTCATGAATAAATTTCTTTAAAAAATTCTGCAAATTTATCTAAAATCTTTAGTTTTATTGATAAATTTACATTATGTTGTAGCTTGTCAAAATAACTGTTGCAATTAAATTAATCCAATACTCAATTTTCTCTTGGAAACAGTCACATCAATTAAATTACCTATACTGTTGTACAAAATCAATTTTAAATATAACAAATTATTTAACATAATAATATATAAGACTACAGCCCAGTCACTGTATAAAAAAATCATAATTGTGAGACAATATTTAAAGCAAACTGAAAGTTATGTTAATATAGATATATTTTATAGAAAGATATATTATTAAATATATATAGTGAAACGCCAAGGGCTTGCACCTTAATTTAGGCAAAATTAGTTTAGTCATAATTTTTAATCACAACTATTTTCAAGGGGCGGTTCCAGAATTTTTCAAACAGGGGGCACAACATACTGAAAACAGATAAGTGAATAGCGCTAAATTCAATATATGCATTGAAATTTTAAAATTTAGTGGCGAAAAGGGGGAACGTTCCCCCTACTAGATCTGCCCCCTGATTTTCTCCAGATGGGGTCAGAGCCTTCCCTGGTTTGTATGCCTGCGTATATGCCGATCATATTGCTAAACAAATAAAATTGCATATTGTCCCACACTTCAATCATATCTTATATATTTTATGTATAACATAAACACACATATTATCGCCTAAATATAGGGTTTATGTGTATAATAAATAATAATATTTTGTTAAGTTATATAATTTACAGTATATTGCAAAAAAAACCAAAAAAAACAAAAAACAGAAAAGTGGCTGGTAAGCTCTGGTTATACTTAGGGCCCCTGAGTAATACAAAACGTAGATGTATAGTCTCCTGGCAATTTTGTTTATATCGATAAATGCCTTTCAAAAAAGACTATCACTTATAGAGTGTAATGATAGGGGAAATATCACCCATGCAGGTAACAGCTGCAGTTGGATATATACCACATGGTCATGTAAGGGGCCATCACCCAGCCCCCTAACCTCCCTTTCAGACAAGCTTAGTCTGCTGTCAGTAACAACTTGGATAAAAAAAAACATCTCAGAATGTTATAAAATGTTTTCTAGACGCCAGGGGGCTTCACTGCTAGCCCCACACAATGTCCAGCCCTCTAGCCCTGTTGGTATTGGCCGGGAATTGTTTTACCCAATCATGTTTGGGCAAATCTATGTTCTGCCACTTCTCACTTGCTGTAGTCTTTAATAAAATCACTGCCTACTCAGTAAACTGATCAATTTGTAGCATCAACATATGATTATGGTTTATAACCATAGAATGACTGTAATTTTCTTAAGAACAAACATCAGAAAATGTAATGAAGCTTTGGGGCTGATTACTAAAGCTACATTCTCATAATTCAGGATGTAGATAGCAACATGACTACAACCATCCACTCTGCTGTCTACAAGCTCGGATTCAAGCCAGGTTGATAGGAAGATATGAATTTGACTAAGATACATTTTGGTAATCATGTAAACAACTTTATTTTCTTTACCATAAATATGGTTCCTTGCATATGGATAAATTCATGAATAAATTTCTTTAAAAAATTCTGCAAATTTCCTTAAAATCCTTAGTTTTATTGATAGATTTACACTATGTTGTAGCTTGTCAAAATAACTGTTGCAATTAAATTAATCCAATACTCAATTTTCTCTTGGAAACAGTCACGTCAATTAAATTACCTATACTGTTGTACAAAATCAATTTTAAATATAACAAATTATTTAACATAATAATATATAAGACTACAGCCCAGTCACTGTATAAAAAAATCATAATTGTGAGACAATATTTAAAGCAAACTGAAAGTTATGTTAATATAGATATATTTTATAGAAAGATATATTATTAAATATATATAGTGAAACAACAAGCACTTACTATACTCAAAAAAAGTTACAAAAAACCCAGGAAAACTGAGGTCCATATTAAATCATTCCACAAAGTTATTGAATCAATATATTGTAAAATTGATTTCTAAAAGATATTTACTCCTGGGTGAAGAGGGGCAATGTGGATCATAAACCTTGTCCAAGTGTGCTATTAACATAGACCACAAATTTTGTATCAATCATCCATGATATGTAATATTATCATAATATTTGGGATTGAATTAAAAAGTAAAGTCTAATGAGTCTAATGCACTATTTATTAAAATACAAATTTATGGAATAGACACATTTTAATGCTTGGAATGTTAGTGCATCAGAAAAACCTAAAATCTGTTATCTTTAAGTTCTGCAATGAAATCAAACTAATATATGTTTTTTAACTGAAAAACTTTAAATTGGATACTTTAATTAATGCTTTCGGTCTTGGAAATCCAGCCCACATTGTACCAATACATTGTCATTCAGAAAATTCTGCACAGGTTTACTCTTCAATCAAACAACCAAAATTTCATGAGGTCCAAAATACAAATGTAATTATATTTTTTAAAATTTATCATTTTGATAGCTACAATTTCTCTTAGAATGGTGGTTTATTTAGCAATTCCTGAGAAGAATATATTCTGAAGAACGTGTCACCATGATTTAACTGTTTTCTAGTTCCAATATTCAAAATCTCAAAACACAGTTAAGAAAAATTGATAACTGACATTTGCTAGATATATATCGTGTAATATATATATATATTTATTTAATATATTTACAGAATAATCGCTGCACCTGCAGAGTTGTACCAAATTTGTTTTATACTCAAAATAGAATGTGTTACAATGGTTTCATCAGATAAACAGTCGATCAACGACATACCGATTCTCAAACCATTTTTTCTCGTCAAATGTAATTTTATATATTTTTTCTTCTCTTTTTACCTTGTATTTTACAATATTGTCAAAGTCTGATATGATTTATCTATATTAAATGAGCTACAATTTCAACTTTACTATCATAAAATACAAAGACTGAAGGCAACCCTACTAATCACTACTACAAAGCATACATCAAAACAGTGCCACAATATCAGCAATATCGTCACACTGACAGACAAATAGCACCACCACCATGGGCAATGCAGCGCTTCTGTCATAGGCAACGCACTGCTACATTCTGGGTAACGTTGTGCCACAATTGTAGGCAATGTGGTGTCACACAGGAAAAATAATGCCATAACAGGCATAGATGTGGTAAAGTAGCATCGCAACCACAGGCAACGTAGCGCCATAACCACAAGACAAAGAAGCGCCACAATCACTGGAAATAGTCGTGGCACGGTCACAGGGCAATGTACAAATAGAAAGTTGTCAAATAGATTGATAACAATAAAAATCCAACTGGCCATGGCACCTCTAACTCTGAAACTTGCGTATCTCACTGAAAAAATCTCTGCAGATAAATGTAAAAGTCAACTTCTCTAGCAATCAATGTTCAGATTCATCATCTTCTCGACGACAGATCCTCAAACAAGCCTTGCTTTAAAAAAAACTGTTCTTAAATTCTCTCTTTTAATCTTCAGTTATTCATTCAATTTTGCATCCTGTATCTCTCAAGTCCAATCCTTTGCTTTTCAACTGAGTCGTTACTCAAAGACATGGAAATTTCATGCATGGCAGATATTCCTTCGGTCCGCTGCGTTAAACTTTACTCCTCGTTTGAAGTTATGTATGCATTTGAAAACATGTTTCCTATTGGAGAGCACTTAGCACCAAAAAATTATGCATAATAATTTAGCAAAAGCAGCTTCATTTGTATATTTCATCACCCCATTGAAAGTACTTGTGGTGGATAGGTGCGAGGTAGCAGTAAGGGTAGGAACCACGTTTCCCCTTTCCCATGCGAACCGTAACCCAGCCTGATTCCACGTTAGACATCTGAATTACAATCTATGAATAAAAAATTTAAAAAAACCAATGAAGCATTAGAATTTTCTTTACTATTTATTTGTCTAAATAATAATAATATGAGGCTTGCCTTTCTGGAACCAGTGTACTGCCACTAATTGTTAAACTGAGTAACAAGAATTTGGCAATATTGTATACTTTAGCACAGAAAAGCTGTAATACTTTTACTTATAACTTTAGCAATAGTAAGTCAATTCCAGTAAATAACACATCATTTTAAAGCGTACAATGTGGAGAATGACAATATATTAAAAATATAATTTTTATTTTATTTGGTCACTGATGGCTGGTTTTGGGATGGCAAGCCTCATATAATAATAACTATGTATTTATATTTATTATATCTGTTATTTATTATGAGCGGACAATTGCAATTGTATTTCTATGTAAAATGTTTTTACAAATGACAATAAATTATGCTGAATACTGAATATTACAATTTTTTTATATTATTTTGATTTAACTCATTTAACAGCGTAAATGCCAATAAGATAATAAATTACAGAAGAGAAACGACACGATGCTCTACATTAAAATGCTTATAAGAGAGTGGAGTTGTTTTTGGTCACAGGGCTTAAACACAGAACACTGGAACTGGAATGTACGCATCTTATCTACCAAGCTACAGCTAAACTTCACTTACATCATTATAACTGTACACTACTTATGGTTACTGAAGAAACAACAGTGAGATTATAAAACAAACGACCTTACCTGATCACGTCTCAGGTTTAATCCGTCTGGCTGTTCAAGACTTCCCTTATGTGACCTAGTCACCCTCAGTGCCCGCTCCCAACGCTGGATCGGCTCGACACAAAATGCAGGGAAAAATCCAACTTTATTATCCAACTCACCCTAATTGAATTTAAAAAATACTCTCATAAATATTAATTCAAATTTATATGTATGATTATTAAAATTTCTCTAATAAAATTTAAAAAAAAAAACTATTGTTAAAAATAGATCTTCCAGTGTAGTACTTTCTTTGCCCAAGTGATAAAGTATTCACTTAAGAATACTATGATTTTTTTATTCAAAATTATCTCACCTTCCACCATTCTGAACTTGAAGAATCTAACAAATAGACCTTGTCTCCAGCTCTGAAGAAATAATACAAAATATGGTAAGAAATGATGTAAAACTTTATGAATGTTTGACAAGACAAACATAATAATGATGCTCTACAAATAAATCTCAGTAGGCCTATGAGGCTTAGGGAATCGTGGTGATTTCAAACAGAACAATGGTTGCGTTCAGAGGCTTAAAAATAAAAAAGAAAGCATACACTTATCTAGAGCAATTCAAGTGTTTCTTTAACATATCTAAAATGTGAGAAGATATATACTTCATGTGGAAGTCAAATTGAGGGTGCTATAAATCTATTATCAACAGATTTGTTGTCAAGTATACTTACGAGAATGTGAGATCCTTTGGAATGGATCCTTCAAAATTACAATAGTCCATTATACATAGTCCATGTGCAAGTCATGTACAGTATGCTACAAAGATCTTAAAATAACAAGATAGCGTTCTCTGCGATTTCTGCGTGCAAATGCTGTAATAATGCAGTGTAGGATGCCCTCTTGCAATTCAAATTACTTTTGAACTTTGCTATTTATGATCTCAGTGCGAATTCTGGAACTACCATAGTAACAACTAGGATGGTACAATTACCTTCTATTGTTTTCTGTGTGAATTGGACGCTTCTATTTGTTACACACAAACCGCAGAGAACGCTATCTTGTCATTATAAGATCTATGCTATTTTATTAAATTGAGGGCGCTATGCATCTATAACCAACTTAGATGCGCCGTCCAGTGTACTTACGAGAATGTGAGATCCTCTGGCACGGATCCTTCAAAATTATACAAAGCAATGCACTCCGTTGCCACAGGCTGGCTTGAAGACATTAAATCCTGAGAAATATGAGCAAAACAAAATCAAATGAACATTCTTCAGTGGTGGATCCAGGAATCTAAAGTAGCAGGGGGTCTAGGGAGGGTCTTTAACACAATGGAGCACCTAGACCACCTCAGCCCCAATATGGTTGGGGCTGAGGTAAGAAAATATACGATTAATGCACCTCTAAATGGCACTCTCAGACTTAAATTTGAATATAATTTTATTTTTTTTCTCCATTTTTATTATAATTTTAAAATTTATTATAAAATTTAGTGGTGAGGAGAGGGTGGCTGGACTCTGTTCTTATATTTATTAAATTAATTTTGAAAAACCTTAAAAGTCTTCCTCACAACCATTGTTATTCTTCTGGTTTAAAAGAGGCCTCCTAAAATGGTTTTCATATCTAATGGCGTAGTCAAAAATCCCCTCTAGATGCAGAATTCATTTTAGAAGGTATCTTTTAAGCGAGGCACTTGCTGCTTCGTACGATAGTCGTACTACCGTCGACGTGACACCGTCTGCTATTTTCAGTAGCTATCAGAACGGATCGTCATTAAAAACGATCCGTTGCGTGTACATTGTGCATTGCGTTCTCCATGTAATCGCATCTGCCAACGACGTTCAGGCGCAGTGAGTGACCGTTTTGAATAATTCATCCTTCTATGCCAGTTGAAAATATTCACACCATTCTGTGACAAGCTGTCATGTGAAATGTACGTCTCATTTTGATATTATGTTCAATGACAGATTGAATGCATTCTTAATATCAAGTTAATGTAGGATTTATATGGCAAACATATCCATTTCATAAAGAATTCTCAAGGTGCTTCTTATTTCACTTGGTCATCGGATACAGAATAAATCAATCAAAACTGGACAACCTGACAATTCCCTGAGGTGTAATCTTACTC